CTGAGTCAGTTACCTCAGTCTCATTCTCGCCGGACGGGACTTACATTGCGACTACTTCGGAGGATAACACTATCCGGCTGTGGATTACAGCAACCGGGCAGCCAGTTGGTGAGCCCTTACGGGGGCACACTGAGTCAGTTACTTCAGTCTCATTCTCGCCGGATGGGACTCGCATCGCAACTGGTTCTCGGGATCACACTGTGTGGCTGTGGGATGCAGCGACAGGGCAGCCAGTCGGTGAGCCCTTGCAGGGGCACACTAAGTCAGTTAACTCAGTCTCGTTCTCGCCGGATGGGACTCGCCTCGCGACTGGTTCTTCGGATGAGACTGTCCGGCTGTGGGATACAGTGACAGGGCAGTCAATTGGTGAGCCCTTCCGAGGGCACACCGACTCAGTTAACTCAGTCTCATTCTCGCCGGACGGAACTCGCATCGCGACAGGTTCTTGGGATCATACCATGCGACTGTGGGATGCATTGACAGGGCAGCCAGTCGGTGAGCCCTACCGCGGGCACACTGATTCAGTTAACTCAGTCTCATTCTCATCGGACGGGACTCGTATCGTAACTGGTTCTCGGGATTACACTGTGTGCCTGTGGGATGCATTGACAGGGCAGCCACCCGGTGAGCCCTTGCGGGGGCACACAAATTGGGTTAACGCAGTCTCATTTTCACCGGATGGGACTCGCTTCGCGACTGCTTCGGAGGATAAAACTGTGCAGCTGTGGGATACAGCGACAGGGCAGCCAGTCGGTGAACCCTTGCGGGGGCACACTGAGTCAGTCAACTCAGTCTCGTTCTCACCGGACGGGACTCGTCTTGCCACTGGTTCTGTGGATCAAACTATCTGGCTGTGGGATGCAGCAACAGGGCAGCCATTCGGTGAGCCCTTACGGGGGCACACTTCTTCAGTTAACTCAGTCTCGTTCTCGCCGGATGGGAATCGCCTCGCAACTGGTTCTTCGGATGAGACTGTCCGGCTGTGGGATACAGTGACAGGGCAGTCAATTGGTGAGCCCTTGCGGGGGCACACTAGTCAAGTTAGCTCAGTCTGGTTCTCGCCGGATGGGGCTCGCATCGTCACTGGTTCTTGGGATAGCACCGTCCGGCTGTGGGATGCAGCGACAGGGCAGCCAGTTGGTGAGCCCTTGCTGGGGCACATTCAGTCAGTTAACTCAGTCTCGTTCTCGCCGGATGGGACTCGCATCGCAACTGGTTCTTTAGATAAGACTGTCCGGCTGTGGGATGCAGCGACGGGGCAGCTAGTTGGTGAGCCCTTGCAGGGGCACACTGAGTCAGTTACCTCAGTCGCATTCTCGCCGGATGGGACTCGCATTGCGACTGGTTCTTGGGATAGCACTATCCGGCTGTGGGTCACAGCGACCGGGCAGTCAGTCGGTAAACCCTTATTGGGGCACACTTCCTCAGTCAACTCAGTCTCATTTTCACAAGATGGCACTCGCATTGTGTCTTGTTCGGGCGATCATACTGTCCGAGTCTGGTATGCAGTGGTTGGGGAGCTTTATCAGGAGTCCGCCGAGTCAGCATTTTCAGACGAAGGGCACATCATGCATTTCTCTTACCAGGTTACCGATACCAACTCGCATTCAAGTACCCTTCCGACCAGCAACTTCATTCGCTTCTCATCTAATTCAATCCCGGAACTGTTGGAGCGTACCAATCTGTTCCGTGACATGCGCCATGTTATCTACCAATTGACGACCTCTTTTGTGGGAGGTGATGGATGGGTGTTAGGTCCCGCACGTGAGCTTCTACTCTGGGTGCCGCCCGCTTCCCGAGAGGTAGTAGGTTTTTATAATCCCCGGTCTTTGGTGATACCCAGAGGATGCGTTGAGCTTGATTTGAGCTGCATGGCTCGTGGACAACACTGGCAGAATTGCCGAGCTGAGTAAGTCTCTAGCCTCGTTCGTCCCTCGCAGTTAATCAAAACGATACGTCTAGCTCTTGATAACCAGGAACTTATTACAGCCATTGACTTGTGGAGATGTCAGATACGATGCGATATCAAATGTACAGTTTAGTTTGTTGCCTATTTCATCCTCGGCATAGACAGCATCTGATTTCAGGTTCGTTCGAGTCAATAAAGTAACACTCATCATGCTCCTAGTAACATTGTGCAATGAACATAGTATAGAGTTGCATTTACGCGTTTGCAGTGGAAAGTTTGTCATATTGGCGCCTGCTCATAGAGGATTGAAGGAACAAGAGCATGCAAGGTTTGAACATTGCAGGGTCCTAACGCACACGATCTTAGAACACTGAGAGAAATGGGTCACTGGTTAAAATATGCAGTTCATTGTGTACAGCACAGCACGAGAACAAGAGCACTGAGAATGATGCATGCAGGGGTATGCGTGCGAGGCGTAAAAGGATATGCGAACACTGAAGGATAAGCAGGGATCAGGAAATGGTCGAGTGACCAGGACAAGAAAAATAACAACATTAATGGAGGAGCTGACATAGGAGGTTCCAACACGAGAGACGTCCGTTCGTTAAGCAAATGCGTCCTAGTTGCAACAATGAGCTCGTCGTCCTTGGAGCCTTCGATGGTTGGTTGCTGGAGATGACAGGAAGACGGACTGCAATGGAGTTGAATGTATCCATAACAGACTACGAGGCACATGAGTTTGGCAGACTTGCCCCCAGACTGTCCATATCTCTTACATTCACGTTCGAATCTGTGTTTATATGCATCCTTCGATGAGTTATTGCCTCGAGGGTCGCAAGAACTGTCATTCGTCCAACGTGTCGCAGGCTAAATGAAGACGTCCATCCGCGAGACCAGCTATATGCTCGAGCAGATAGGGAAACTCCTACGTCGGCTGCGTAGTCTAAGTCACTAGGTATAATTTTCCAAAAGGGGGTGTTTCTCACCAAAGTAAAAAGTATAAACGGTACTATGGCTAAACTGCATGCGAACGCACGCGTGCAACTCATGGCGGACTGATAAGTATGGTAGCCAGCAAAATATCGTATGGATAAGTGATGAAATCCCGTTCGTTCGCAAGGTGGTTTGTCTGAGCGTGAAAACCAACAGTATCCAGGATGGGAAGTGCGCCTCGTTCCCGCACTTGCGGATCTAGCATGTGTGAAGGATTATCAGGCTAGAAGCGACGGAGACATAATTTGGCATTGATTGTCATGATCCTTGCATGAATACCATAACGCGCGCTCTATGAGTGTGGATAAATGGATAATTGAACGCCATGTTGAGCGCTGGGATGAGAACTTTACGGTGTTATAACCTAGTGAAGGACCCAGGCGGCCGATAAGAATAAACGTGTTGGGGCGGAGAGACGGTTTGGGTTTGGTTAGAGGCGAGCGGAGTCACGAAGGAGGTTGTTGACCATGTAGATAGCTGTACAATTCATTATTAGGGACGATTTTTACACCTAAAACGACTATACCATGGGAGAGTAGGACGATGGTGCGGACAGTGGCTTAGAACAACGATAGTGTCAGCGAAGCCATTCTGCTGCACGAAAGTGGATGAAATGAGCTACCCTCAGTGATAGATGAACATGCATGCCTAATTCGGCCAGACCTTTTCGACGATTGTCTTCTTATCCGTCTTCTTGACAAAGGTGATTATCAATGCGTGTGCCGTGGTCAGTACCTGCAAATAGCTTGATGAGGGGGCAACGATGACCATGCCGTGGTTGTCGGATGCAGTATTCTTTCCGAATTGGAGGACGAGGGACAATGATTGGCGCTGAAGTGCCGCCAAACTTAGGGCACGGCGACGAGGCATGGGAGAACACGGAAAGGGACACATTCACGGTGAAGGATGATTTTTTCAGTGTCCCTAAACAAACAAATCAATACGACCATTCGAAGGCCAACCATACATACCGTAACAATGATATCGTTCTCCATGTGACTTCTGCCACGCCGATACATACTAGGTTTTTCACTGACATTCATTATTTGGGATTCGGGTAAGGAGCTGTTTGAAGGAGGGAAAGACAAATGAGGGCATGGAACCTCTGGAAGAGAGTTGAGGCGGAGGATGAAGCGGCTGGGCAGTCAATGGTGGCATGTTGGATTGAAGACGGCATAGAGATGTAGGCTGAGGGTATACCCATCTGGTGCACTGGATATGTGTATACATCAGAAAGACTCGTAGCTGTATGCATTAATGTATATGCGACCACGTACACATTAAGAACAGAACTCGAGCCGCGGTGTTACCGTATGGATGGAGACTTACAGGTTCGGGAAGGCCTGAGATCCAATATCGCGGACAGTGTTTATGCTGATTATGGGAACTCAGGTAAGCCAACGGGCTTACAGCTTGGCACATGCCACGTCACTGAGCTTCATGTATGTCTGCATCACACCCCGGTCATGCTGAGTTTAAGTTGTTGTTTTGGTGCATAGCTTGTATCAGAAAACCTATAGCAATATTTACTTTGCAGCACGCGATTTGTTCTGGTCGTGTGCCACTGCGTCGAAGATGCATCATGACATGTACAGCACCGTATAGGTACTAACAAAGCATCTCCAGAGGAAAGCAATTGCAGATAATTGTACCGTGTCAAATGTGCATCGCAGGTGACGAGTCATACGCTACTATTTCAGTTTCGCTGCTTTCCCCGGCCTATCGGTGAGCATTTCTTCATCTGTTACTATTGTTTTCTCTTACTGAACGTTCTGGGGTAATATTCAAAGTCAACCCGCATTACTCAAGATATCTCCACCCCACCGCCTACAAATGGCATCAGGTGATGTCTAATCATACCGTGACACGGTTATGTACGCTTATTTTTTGGGCCCGGCTCGAAGTACGGTCCGATCAACGCGCACAATCTCCTTGTCAATACCCGGAAATGGGGTCTGGCTATTCAGTTTCTTCAGCAGTCTGCTGCTCAAATGTGAATTTGAATGACTCCAGGTGTGAGTGCGATTGACGGTACATAAATAGCCGTTCATAATAGCTTGGATATTATCATTTTCTTCCTGTCCCTCCAGTAGCCATCATGCTACAGCTACCTGACCTGCACATTTATAACAACGCCCACCTCGTTGTCTGCGCTGCGGCTTGTCTTGGGGTAGTAGGAGTGATCTCTCAGGCTTACCTTTATAAATCACAGAGTGGTCTTCCTCTTCCGCCTTCCCCTCCTACTTGGAGACTTTGGGGGCACTTCATACCCCCTCGCAAGTAAAGTTGTACATTTCACTCGTTGCTTTCAATGCTAATTACATCACTAATCAGGCCATTTCTCACTTTAGCAGGATGGATCGACGAGTATGGTCCTCTGATTACCATTCGGTCTGGAACTGAGAAAATCGTTGTTGTCGGCCGTTACAACGTCAGTCCCTCCGATTTCAATCGTATGTAGGCTCAAAGTCGTGTTGCAGGTCGCGGTGGACATCATGGAGAAGCAGAGCGGTTTTCTAGCTGATCGTCCTCGCCGCGTTGCTGGAGAAATATTTAGTGGCGGGCTATCCAACCTCCTCACACCCGCTGGGGCTAGATTCCGTCGGATGCGTAGGTTCGTTTGTTGCCCACGATACTGCACAAATGGCCTCAATCTTACTCTGAAATTGATACAGAGCACTCCATGCGCATCTCCAGCCCAAAGTAGCTAAGGAATATCAGCCCCTCCAGATGTCACACGCAAAGAACATAGTGCTCGACATTCTGGAAGATCCATACAACTTCCAGAACCACGTGGCAAAGTAAGTGCTGTCCTAGGTATCACAGTACATCACTTACAGGTATTTTGAAGTTTTGCTGCGACGACGATTACGAAAGTTGTGTACGGGAAGACCACGCCCACGTCTGCGACTGATCCCGAAGTCAAACGACTTCGCGAGCACTTGCGAGGATTTCGTACAGCCTTACGCCCCGGTGCTTACCTGGTGGACTCGATCCCGTGGCTCAAATACCTTCCTTGGTATGGCCGAGAATTGAAACGGGGGTTTCACAAAAGTAAACAGTTCTACACCGCTCGGCTGAATCGCGTGAAACAGGAAATGGTACATGGTCTTGCCCATCTTCACTTCACATATGAATCATTCCACAGGAGAACAATGTGGACTTTGATCCTTCGTTTACAAAACATATGCTACAAGATCTCCAACTCCACGGTTTGTCGGAAATAGAGATGGCCTTTCTTGCTGGCAGCTTATTTGCAGCTGGACGTGATACGGTGAGATGTTTTGTGCTGTTGCTTCTGAACATATGTAATTGAATTCATGCGTCAGACTATTTTGTCAATATGCACAGTGCTCATGGCAGCCGCAGTGTTTCCCGAAGAGCAAGCGAAAGTCCAGGCCGAGCTTGATGCGATCATAGGAAGGCAGCGAGGTAGCTTCATTCGTATCACAACTCTATGAATTTCAAGGATATTTCACTACAGCACCGACTTTCGCTGACGGACAGTCCCTTCCTCGATTGCACGCCTTCATCTCCGAGGCTTTGAGATGGAGACCGATGTTTCCCAGCGGTAGGTGTATTCATCGTCTCTGTTGTACCTGAAATTCTCAACGTTCACACGGCAGGAATTGCTCATCGATCGACTAAGGATGTGCTTTGGGCATGTATCTTTCGAACTACTTATTGTGCGAATGATAATCTGGCCCATCAGGGAAACTATTGCATTCCAGCTGGAACTACCGTAGTTGGCGATCACTGGTAAGTGTCATTTTTCAAGATATAAGGGACTTATGGTCACGTCGTCAGGTCCATCTCTCGAGATCCCGACGTCTTCCCCGAACCTCATGCGTTCAAGCCTGAGCGTTGGATCAACGACCAAGGTCTCTGTAGGGATGATCTAAAATTCTTCTTCCTCTTTGGGTTTGGTCGGCGGTAAGTAACAGTCTTAAAGGACATTCTTTCGTTGACTGACTGGGTTCCAAGTGTATGTCCCGGTCAACATGTGGCGAACAGGTAAAGGTTTCTTTCCACGCACATTATTTCCCGAGTTCATTTCAATGACTGCAGATCGCTATTCATAAACTCGGCCCTTATTCTTTGGGCCTTCCAGGTGACTCTGGATCCTACGAAGCCACAGGATGACATGGGGTTCATGAGCGGAAATACCCGATCATGTACTATTGATTTTAAGACGAGGATTCCAGAGACTGGCATCAGGCGCATGTTGCAGAATTATCCCGAGGTCGCCTGAGAAGCCTCAATTGCCGCCTAGGGATCTATCAGTCCTGTAGTTCTCGCAGTATCATCACGTATTATAGCTTGAACTTTTTACCTCAATCCTCATGCATAACTGTCTCATACTCTGATATCTTACTTTGACTCCGAGCAACCCTGCCTCATGTTAAATTACATACTAGTTGTAACAGCTGAATATGGTATCGGTTCGTGTACTCCCGCTCACCTCGCGCACACATCCGGTGGGCCAACACAATCTCGCTGCCTATATATCCATCTAAAACGGACCACCAAATAAATCATTCTATCCTCAACTTCATCTTTCGCATCTTTCGCCATTACCGACAAAGCGTTCGACACCACCTTCCATCTCCGGCCATACTTCCCAGATAACCATGCCTCATCTGCTGTCATTATGATTCTCTCGACGCACGGCGCGATCGCGTGCAGGAACCGTGGGATGGATCTCATCAGGTCCGGCGCCGTCGGTGGGCGCAAGGGGCCCAGCGAAATAAGCGACTCCCCTATGTCCAATTTGAACAGGCACGTGTTGGGTTGCAGCCCCACTGGATCGTTGTCATTGTCGTTCGGAAAGGATATTCCGAGCGCATTGATCCGTGCGTCCACACGGAGAAAGACCTCGCGCAGCCCATGGGAACGCCTCACAAAGAAGCCCAACGCACATAGGGATGCAGGCGTGTTGCGCATTCCTAGTTTAAGGACAACGAGACATGGGCATGTGCGAGCAAGCGTGAGGATGTCCGCGTCGGTGAGTGTGATCATCGATATGTAGTTGGGGGAGATGGCAAGGGTCTTGAGGTGTGCGAGGGCGGTAGGGTATCAAAGGATGCGGATGTGCAGGAGGGCTACACGTGCCGACGGTGACACCACTCGGCGATAATGATGTGCTCTAGCTTAGTGCAGGTGAGAATGCTGAGGAGTTCGGACCAGATGCTCGCTGGGCTACATCATCGTGCATTGATGTGAATTGTTTTGAGCTTGAGGCATCCGAAGTGACATGTATATGAGATGTGCAAGTCACAAGTGAGTGAGTGCCTGAAAGGGGTGTGGTATATTGAGAGGTACAGTGGGGATGCTTTCGAAACCCAGTTGGAGAGTGAGCCATTGGAGGCGTGGCCACGCAGCGATAGCATTGAGCAAGCCGCCTGAGATATCACAGCATCTGAAGACAACTCTGTGAGACCCTCAAGATAGCTAAGCAGGGAGCGAATCAATTTCCGAGATGCTTGCTCTGTCTTGTCGACGAAGCTGTCAAATCCAATAGCTTTCAGGTGGGGGGCGGCGGTATGGAGGTGAGGGATGATGGCTTTGCAAAATGAAGCGCTTGAGACGTCGATGGAGAGGGTCTCGAGGGTGGGTAGGAAGAGGCTGAGGGTTGGGATGGAGGTGATACGCGGATCGTGCCAACTGAGCGAGCGCATCTTGGGAAAGAGCAGAGCATCTTTGGGTGTGGTTGCAAGGAGCAATTCGTATGCAGTTTCGCCATGGCCGGGGTTCCTGCAGAAGGACTTGGTGCGTGCCACAGCATTAGGAAACAATGTGTGGAACTGTTTGGATTTAAACACCGTGAACGTACTTATGACTGCATTTGCTTATGAGACCTGGTCCTCAGTACTCAGTACGTAGTGCGCAGTCAGGGTTGCACAGTCTCGCAGAAGAAATGGATGTCAATGAAATATCTTGCGAGTCGTACATTCTGAGACACTTTCCAGTGTACTCTTGGCGTTTATACCTCGGACCGAACACCTGAGGCGGACAACAAGGAGCTCCAAATATATTGGCGGCGCGGCAATTACGTGAAGTATGTATTAGTCCGAGCTGTACTTGAATTTGAGCATTTGAATTTGAGCATCATGAATGATGTTCTGCGGCATCCAGGACCGAACCTATGGGCAACTCGTAGTGCATAGCTGAGGCTGTTGCATCATGGCAAGGGAAGAGTGCTCTAAGAACAGGGGCTACACAGCGCCGATTTTTGATCCTCATACTCGCGCGTACAGCGAGCTACAATCGCATATAAAAGACCCTCAGCGGTCATTGTTGTATTCCCATTGCGAATCTCTGTTTCTGCAAGTAAGCATCTAAAACTTGACTCTATAAATCATGTACTCACGGCAGCATTCATGACAGCACACCGTCGTATAGAGCATCATGGAACCATATTCCCTCCCTCTGGGAGGAATATTCACCTTCAAGTGTGTGATCGGAGATGGCTTCGACGAGAAGACTCAGTCGGGCATCAGCCACGGGTGCACAAACTACCAGCATTTTATTATCCCTACTATCACAGTAGGTCATATTGGACCGACCATGATTGCTTCCCGTCCTTGACGTCCTTTCGCAGCAGTGCACCATCCTGGACCATCTCGGAGAATTTCCGCACACAAGTCAACAAGATGCCAATCAGCACATGATGCAGGAACAATCACCCGTCGCCGCCCTCTGTACGTCTGCTACATTGCGGATGCCCGATGCATCTGATAAAGGCCAACACAACGGAGAAAATAACAGGGCAGAACTTTTCATGGGTTGTTCCATAAGCTTTGTTTTTATCAACAACTTCTTTCTATTTTTTTGTTAATCTCCTTTTATTTGCGCAGAGTTCCACGCGTACGGGTAGTAAGTAGCCCCTGTAGACTTCGTACCTTGGTTATTATATAGATATTGTCGGTTGCTTATAACATATGAATATCATGCGTCCATTTGAACATCTCAGCGATCACAAGGAGGTGTTCCTTGGCGTAGGTTTCAAGCAGGGAGGAGGTGGCAATCCTCCAGCCACGAACCCCAGATTGAAACATAAGGGTTCCTCAGATTGTGCACTGACAGATGTGAGGAACACAGAATATTGGTCACTGAGTTGGCTCCCTGTGAAAAGTGTCAGAACATGCCTATCGACACCATTTAACGTCGTTAGTGGTACAGACAAAAAACCGTCGCCTTGCTCGTAGCTGAGAATAAGCATGACTCACAAAGCAAGTACAAAACCGCGCATATACCAAGACTGAGCGGGCCTGCGATCTTGAGCGTCTGCACGGGATTACCAATGTTGTCCATAGCATAGTTCATGTTAGATTATCACGCATGGGCGCGAAGGACTTTAAAATGTGGCGGTGGTGTACTGTCAACATCATGATCAGTTTATACGCACTGAGGAATATCACATAGTGTACGTACAGCTCCTTGCGAAGGCATTCCTGAAATGGACGTGTGGATCAACGACGCGGATTTTGTTCTAGGGCGCCACCCGGCCTGTGCTGACGACGAATACCAGGATTATGATTTGAACGCCCAATAAAAGAAGATTTAAATCAGAATGTGAATGCATTGTTCCTTGTGGTAGGATATTAGTAGAGGAGGAAAACAGATCGAGTACATGTGCCGAAAGACGTATAGCGAGTGAAATCGTTGCAAGTGTATCAACAGCCCAGAGATTCAATACTTCGGCTTTTGGTGCGCGGAGATCCGAGAAACGAAGGGATTGGTCCCGTAGCCAGTGATGAGCCTGAGCGTCTGACACATAACAGAAATTAGAAAGGGTTTTAAAAACACAAGATTGAGAAACGTACTGATTTCGTAAGAGAGTGCAGATACCGCGTTGGAATATTGACTCAAAGATGTCACTTTCAATTCTGTTGAGAGCCTGATCAAGCCTATGAGAGATATCAGTGTCGTTCTCAAATAAATGCCGTGGGATACGTAATCCGGTACCGGTGTTTAAAAATTCACAGTAACGATGGGTCTGGTCGCTGAACAGACAGGAAAGGACGGCTGCGTGATGGTCTTTTTGTGCGCTCGCGGCTACATCACGGATCCGTACAGTATCGTACAGTCTGGTAATCTGTGGTTAAATCTTCGCGGACGATAAAGATAAAGTCGAAACTCACGGTGTCCCAGGCGGATACCTGGAAGGATCAGGGTTTGTTGGGGAGAAGTGTACCTAGCCCCTGTGATATGCTATCGAATGGAGGTGATGAGGGCTCTTTTCAGTCTAAATATGATCAATGGCATGAATGCACATTTGCAATAAAAGTATGGACTTGCCGGCCATGGAAAGAGATGCTAGAGCAGACGCTGAGACTGCAAAGAAACTAAGAAATGCGCGTAGAAACATAGCCAAAATTTATGATGATGATACATCCACGACAATCATCTCAGTCATCAATGACCTTATCTTATACCTAAACCGCCGCTTCACCGATGACGATGTCCTAAGAACCCATCTCAGATTGATGTCAAATATTCTAGATCAGCACTTACAGAGTGTATCGGATCTTCAGAAGATCAACCCCAGAAGTGGGAACTTCCCTGTAGGCCGATACATTTGTTTCCAAATGGTAGAGGAATTACGATTTTTTATCTGACGAACCTTGGTGTACTCATGAGGCAGCAAAAGTTCAATGCATCCTAATAATCGTGCATCATGCATCATGTATGTCATAGCACACTGGCAGCTGAGGGAACAATTTACTGGGTTAACGCACGAACCGGGGCACGACGCGTTCAGGAACATCTTGAGTGGGAGGCACTGAACGTCCGTGACAACTCACGCGCACGACTCACCGGGATCCATATGCAAATCTTAGATCTAGAATGATTCGGAGGACTACAATAAAGCCAAATACAGTGCATACATTATAACACTTCCCTCGAGAGTTAGCTTACAACCCATAATCAATAGGCCTGTCCTCGATCTGCTCTTTGACAAATGCATCTCGCATGATGAAAAAGACAATGCTACCAGTGAGGGAAACCATCTGTTATCCAGTTAAGTGGATTCTGGAGAAAATAGCCACAGTTAACTCACCCCAGAGAACAAAGCCGGTATCCACCAGATATAATTAGATGTTAGTAGAGCGCCAGATATGGGAGGTCCTACATAAAGTATAAGATAAGAAGCAGGAAATGACACAACTGCACCTACCAATCAAACTTCCAAATCCTGCAGTGATCGCGTGCGAGTTAACATAGAATTAATTGTAATCTGATAGTACCCACCGCCAATAAAGACAGCGATGCCCATCCGCGCGCTATGATCCAAATCAGATTGTTCGTACCTCCGAATTGAAACCACGCACCCAAGCTCAGAGAGGTCTGGCGTTAAAGTAGCCATCAGTGGAGGTGTTATCGCAACAACTACATAATTAAACGAACTGTCAGAAACTTTTCATCCCGATGGAAGAAAATTACTTACACAGCCCTTCAAAATAGCCATGAAGCACGGCAAGCACAACGACGCTGGCCAAGCTATTCAACCCAATCATGCCAAAAATGAGCACACTGCACGACATTGTCGCGATGATGGCTAAGTTCGGGACCCCTGTGAACGGCGCAATAAACCCTGATGTGGCTCGTCCTATCAAACTGGATGCATTTAAAATCGCTAGCTAGTGACCCTGTCAGCAGGAAAATCGCTTGTGCAGTGCTGGCGCCCACAGAGTAAGATGAAAAGGCAACATTGATACCATGCTTGATGGAGTCGAGTTGAATGAAGTATGCCGGGTAGAAGAGGCCGGTCTGGAAAAGGAAGCCCCTGCAGGATAGTTATTTGGAGGAATTCGAGAAGGTGTATTACAGGTCTCACCCTGCCACCATAAGAGTAAACGGTACATCACGAAGACACTTTCTAGCTGCCGCAATGTAGTTCACCGGTGTCGTCGGTGGATCAAGGCGAGTTCGCATGCACAGACATGCAATTAAAAGGAGTGCGCTGACGAACCCCGCGCTTGCACGGACGCCATTGGCGAAGCCAAGAGGACCATCCAGGAAGTTATTGAGCATAATCGGATGGACGATAGCACCCAGCGACGAGCCCGAAATGGTGAACGCCATAACTAGTGTGCGTCTCTCTTGGAAATGATGCGAGATGATAGCTATGCTTGGGATAAACATAAGCCCCATCGCAACACCCAGGCCTAAGCCTTGAGAGAGGAATATCTAAACTAAGTCAGAAAATGAGATTATAAAGTCGAGGGAATGACGTTGCCTGGTAGTACTGGTCGGGTTTTGACAAAGACAACATGAATAGAGAGAAACTCTGCAGAAGCGATCCGGTAATCATGAGATGGTAGCTAGTTGAGAATGCTGAACGTCATCGAGAATCTCTAACAAAGTTACACTCACAAATATCCTCGATCATATAGTGAACCCGATACAAGGCCCACAGCGCAGATTAAAAACGCACTCGAGCTCCCCATCCATCTACAAGATACCTTCAGGATATCCGCCGTGAAAACGCATGTAGAAACTCACGATATAGCAGATGGTGTCTCATTTGTGAGGTAATGCTGGATATAGAAGTCTGGAGGGTAGTAAAATATTCAATGTTCCATGCTCGCTTTCATGTGCAACAACTTACCTTCATAGACACCAAATGAAGAGGCATAACTTTTAATTTTCAGTCACATAGCCATTCCTTGGCAACGCCAGCACACGACTCACCCCAACCCGCAAAACTGTACAAGGAACCTAAGTAGAACTTCGAGTAAGAACCAGCTTCTCGATCCAAATTTGAGTTTTCTTACGATCCAAAAGCAGTGGCCCAAGCAGCCCGACCACCTTCCAATGTCACTGAGTCTTTGTCCTCTTGGAGGGCGACCCCTTCCGTATGAAGCGTTCGAGGCTCGCATGTAAATGCCATCCAGGGCTGCAGAACTGACAGTGTCGACTATACATTGGTGTATATATATATACACACGACCCTACGTCATTCGAGTGACGAGTAGTAATAGGTATCGATGGGAGACGCCAGTGCGCTGTCGTGCGATGGTTGGGTGAGAATCAAACGAACACTGTTTTGCTTGATTGCCAGCAGATGATTTTTCGGGCCGAGCCTCTGCGAACGGGTGTACACTGTAGTCGCCCTACGTGGCTATTTTGGCGGTTCTTGATGGTACCATGTAGTTTACCCTAGCTGTTTCTATTCGCGTCCTCATGGAACATTGTGGCGAGGGACGACCATAGTTATATCCAAGAACCCTGGAAAATGACGCAGAGCACAAACATCTTGACAAAACTGTCTACATACTTGGCACAGGAACAATGTCTGAATTGCCGAAACACCCCATGCACGACAATCATCACATTGTCGATACCGTTTCACCTCACCCACATGCATCCACCTACCGACCCGATACCGCCTGTGCACCCATTTACTAGAACAAAAACCATCAGTCATTGTCCATCTTGAGGCATTTCCGACAAGACTTCTGACACTTTCTTCCACCTCGCCCTATAATCCCCTAGCTCACGCATCCACTCGTAGTACGACCCGCCCACCGATCTTTCGATTGCCGCAAGCCGTGTTGCTAAGTATTATGGGCGTTAAGTCCAGCTTCGTGGGCGTGAGTTGGGTGGCAAATCCACTTGGTCGTCGTTCATAGGTGCCGCGCCAAGCGCATCGAGTTGCGCGTCCACGCGGAGTGAGCCTTCATACAGCTCACGACAGCGTCCTACGATGAAACCCATGGCACCAGGGATGCGGGTGTATTGCGCATCCACCTCTAAGTCAAGGAAGTAGAGGTGTGGACATGTGCGAGCGAGCGTGAGAGTGTCGGCGTCAGGAAGCGCGATGGACATGGTGTGGGCGGGATAGATGACGAGGGTCGTGAGGTTTGCAGGCGTGCGAGGAGGGGGTGGGGAATGATGGGTGTGGCTTAGTTGTATGTACCGTGGGTGACACCTCTCACTGGGAATAATATACTCTAGCTTAATGCAGGCGAGAATGCTGAGGAGTTCGGATCAGCTGCTGGCTGTGCTGAATTGTTCTGAATTGTGTTAAAATTGGGGTATCCAAAGGGATACGTATCAGAATCCATCCTGAGCATCTGAATAGCGCGGAGGAAAGATGTGAAAATGCCCACACCCTCGCATGAGATATACAGGTGAGTGAGGGCTGGGGCACGTGGAGAGATACAGTGGTAATGCTTTTGAAGCCCAGCTAGAATGTGAGTTATTGGAGGCGTGGCCACGCAGCAATAATTCAGTGAGAGATATCGCATCTGATCGAAAGCTGTAAGAGACCTTCAGGATAGCTGAGCAGGAACGATTTTATTTCCATCCGTTCCCTGTCATGATGCCATCCAACCCAGGAGCTTAAAGGTGCGAGGCAGTGGTACGGAGGTCAGGGATGGTTGCCTTGCAAAATCGAGTGTCTGGGACGTTGAGGGAGAGGGCAGGTAGGATGGGGATGGAGGTGAGACGGCACAGTTACTAGAAGACAGGCACGTACTAGAAGTGCATGGGAGCGACAAGACTCAGCAATATCACTGAGTACTGGGAGCAGCTAATGGGCCCGGGATTTAACGCTGGGCCGTCGGATGCGTTTGAACTTTACAAAGGAGAGGATTACTTGCACGTGGACTAACCTAACCGTCTGGTTCTGTTCAAGCGAAACTTTGACCATGTCACGAGCAAGCGCATTGCTGCGCTTTGATCGAGAAACATGTCAGAGGGATGGAAACAAGACTATGACGTTCTAACTACTACTCACCGTAGGTTGCTCCCGGATCTACCTAAGCTTCGAGGCTGATAAGACCCGCTGAGGGACATACGAGTCTGAGAGGAAAGTATGTACGTAAAGCTGTGGCGGGAGCTGAAAAACACTTTGGAACACGTTGGGAACACGTGCACTGCTGTTCAACTACTTAGTACTCTGCTGTTGTTCTACTGTGTCTTTTCTCAGTCTGCCCTTGTCCCCCTCTCTCTCGTCACAGTGAGCGACCTTTGACAAGATTGATACACTCTCCCATTATCCATAGTTTGGTTTGACAAATTTTGAAGGCATGTGTACAAATTGCGCGATACCACGACACGCTTTGAATCAGAATAAATAGAATTACAATTCAACATATATGCAGCGTTCAGTTAAAGACAACTCGAACAAGCGGTATGGACCGCAAAATAGCCCATGCCGCTAGCAATTGACCAATATTGTAGTCTTCGCTCGCAGTCCCTGGAGACTGACAGAGAGACATCTTCGAGTCAGATCACCTCAAATGCCAAACGGTGGGTCCATTCAAACGTTGTCTATGGCTCCCTTTTAACAAACATCCCTCTTGATCTGGCAGACCAAAACTCGATCACCGTACGGGTAAGAATTGGAACGTACTTCTTGATTCGACATCCATTCACGCCTACTTCAGGTAATGAAGTCGACCTCAGTGGTATGACGTATGCAGCGGGCGCTGGACGAGATACTAGGAAACGATGCCTACCAGGGACCCGCACAGAAATTCTCTCCCAGATCATGGGATGGATCAAGAGCTGACGGAGATGATGTGCCGCGGGTGCTGTGGTTATCTGGCCCTGCTGGGACAGGTAAATCAGCAATTGCTCATACGATCGCCTAGTTCGTTCATCGATGAGGGAGGGCTTGGTTCTTGTTACTCCTTCGACCGGGACAGAGACGCCGACCATCGCCATGAAAAGGTTTTCTCCACGATCGCGCGCGACCTTGCTGACCATCATCCGGAGATGAGACAAGCGTTGGCGGATGCTGTTCAAAATGACAGTGCGCTGAAGACTACACTGGATGTCGTCCAGCAGTGGCAGAAACTTCTTATAGAACCGCTAGGGAAGCTCACTGAGTCAACCGTTGACCCTATCGTGATCGTGATCGACGCACTGGACGAGAGTGGTGCACCCAAGACACGAAGCCACATTCTCCATATTCTTGCCAATAAACTTCAGGACTCAAGCTATTCCCCAGATCACACAGCTCCCAAAGAACATTCGGATTATTATTACCTCTCGTCCGCTTCGCGACATTGATAGTGCCTTTGCTGGCGCTCAGCATATCCGACGGATGTCTATGGACGACATCCCACCTAACCACTGCGGAGGGCGACATCTACGCTTACGTGTCGAAGAAGCTGGAGGGACTTCCAGGTTTGGGGAGCAGAGACTTTGCAGCCCTCGCTAAGATAGCGGATGGCGTTTTCGAGTGGGCACGTCTTGCTTGCGAATACATCGAAGCACCTGCTCTCGGCTTATCTCCAAACGAGTCCTTCAATGCCGTGATGTCCTGCGATCCTGCCGAGCGCGAAAACTTGTTGTATGATATGTATCGCTTCATTTTGGCAGAGATCATGCCAAAGGATACATCCGCATCTCGGCACAAACAGCTAGCAAGATTTCGTTCTGTGATGGGACAAATACTTGGCGCAGCTGAACCCCTCCGTTTGGAGACCCTGAACGCCATGCGAGATCATTTTCCAGACAAAAACGAGCATTACAAAGTGGAAGTCATTGTAGAACACATGGGATCCCTCCTCAGCGGCACCACCAACTCATCTTCCCCCATCCGACCCCTTCATACATCCTTCCGCGATTTCCTGACCGACCAATCATGCAGTAAAGAATTCTTCATCGACGTAGTGGAGGCGCAACGCTCCCTTGCTTTTGCGTCGCTTCGAGTGATGGAACACGGTCTTCGCTTTAATTTCTGCGATATCAAATCTTCGTACCTCCCCAATTCTGAAGTTACTGGGCTGCGAGAACGAATTGAAAGCATTCCCCCACACCTGTCCTATTCCTCTCGATTTTGGGCTGCGCACGTACAAGCGACAGCCTTCGACACAGAGCTCGCGAAGGATGTCAAATTGTTCTTCGACCACGAGCGACTGCTGTTCTGGATCGAGTTACTTGGACTTCTCGACGTATTCAGCGGCACAGTTGCCGCCCTTGCTCTCATTATTCAACGGCTGAAGGTGAGTATGCAATTACTGAACATAAAATAAAGTGCTAACGCGCAACCACAGAACGATTCCGGATTCAAAGATGTATGTTCGAGTGCAGTGGACGTGCAGAGGTTCATTCAACTCTTTGGGGACATCATTTCACTCAGCACGCCACATCTTTATGTATCAGCCCTGCCATTCTCACCAGTCAACTCTCTGATATCTACCAAATTCGCTGCCAAATTTCCGAATATTCTTCGTCTAGCCTCTGGACGTGATATGAACTGGCCGACTTTTCAGACTGTGCTCAGGGGGCACACTGATGATGTTACCTCAGCCTTGTTCTCGCCCGATGGGACTCGCATCGCGTCTGGATCGGAGGATGGGGTCCGGCTGTGGGATGCAGCGACGGGGCTGCTAGTCGGCGAGCCCTTGCGGCACTATCTAGTTACCTCAGTCTCGTTCTCGCCGGACGGGACTCGCATCGTGATTAGTTCCGGAGATGAGACTGTCCGGCTGTGGGATACAGCAACAGGGCAGCCAGTTGGTGAGCCCTTGCAGGGGCACACTGACTCAGTTCATTCAGTCTCGTTCTCGCCGGACGGGACTCGCATCGCGACTGGTTCTTGGGATAGGACTGTCAGGCTGTGGGATGCAGCAACAGGGCAGCCAGTTGGTCAGCCCTTAAGGGGGCATACTGGACGTGTTAACTCAGTCTCATTCTCGCCGGATGGTACTCGCATTGCGTCTGGGTCAGATGATAAGACTGCACGGCTGTGGGATGCAGTCACAGGGCAGCCAGTTGGTGAGACTTTGCGGGGGCACGCCCGTGATGTTACTTCAACCTCGTTTTCGCCGGATGGGACTTGCATCGCAACTGGATCAGAGGATTCCACTGTCCGACTGTGGGATGCAACCACAGGGAAGCCTGTTGGTGAGCCCTTGCGGGGCCACACTTCTTTTGTTAGCTCAGTCTCTTTCTCGCCGGATGGGACTCGCATCGCAACTGGTTCTTTGGATAAGACTGTCCGGCTGTGGGATGTCGCCACAGGGCAGCCAGTTGGTCAGCCATTGCGGGGGCATACAGATTGGGTTAACTCACTCTCATTCTCGCCGGATGGGACTCGCATCGCAACTGGATCAAGGGATAAGACTGTCCGGCTGTGGGCAGTGAAAGGGCAGCCAGTTGGTGAGCCCTTGCGGGGGCACACTAGGTCAATTACATCAATATCTTTCTCGCCGGATGGGACTCGTATCGCGACTGCATCAGAGGATGAGACTGTCTGGCTGTGGGATGCAGCGACGGGGCAGCCTGTTGGTGAGCCCTTGTGGGGGCACACAGATTGGATTCGCTCGGTCTCATTCTCGCCGGATGGAACTCGCATTGCAACTGGTTCTTCGGATCGAACTGTCCGGCTGTGGGATGCAGCCACAGGGCAGCCAGTTGGTGAGCCCTTACGGGGGCATACTTCTTCAGTTGACTCGGTCTCGTTCTCGCCGGATGGCACTCGCATTGCAACTGGGTCTTGTGACAACACTATCCGGCTATGGGATGTAGCGACGGGGCAACCAGTTGGTCAACCCTTGAGGGGGCACACTTACCTAGTTGTCTCAGTCTCTTTCTCGCCAGACGGGACCCGCATTGCCACTGGTTCTTTCGATAAAACTGTCCGGCTGTGGGATGTAGCCACAGGGCAGCCAGTTGGTGAACCCTTGCGGGGGCACACTTCTTCGGTTTTCTCAGTCTCGTTCTCGCCGGATGGGACTCGCATTGCAAGTGGTGCTTGTGATAACACTGTCCGGCTGTGGGATGCAGCAACGGGGCAACCAGTCGGTGGGCCATTGCGGGGGCACTCTCAGTCAGTTCTCTCAGTCTCGTTCTCGCCGGACGGGACTCGCATCGTAACTGGTTCGGAAGATAACACTGTCAGGCTGTGGGATGCAGCGACAGGGCAGCCAGTCGGTGAGCCCTTGCGGGGGCACACTGGGTCAGTTTACTCAGTATCTTTCTCACCGGATGGGACTCGCATTGCGACTGGTTCGAAAGATTGTACTGTCCGAGTCTGGTATGCAGCAGTTGGGCAGCCGCATCAGGAGTTCGCGGACTCGGAGTACGGGGACTCGGATTACTATGGAGACTCCGACTCCAACTCGGAGGATGGAGACTTGGAGTATGACTCGGAGTATTGGAACTCGAAGCCAGTATTTCCTGACGAAGAATCTACCACTTTGACCAATGACTTCACTCGATTCTCATTCAATTCAATCCGGCTACTGTTGAAATCTAACTGGCGAATCCGTGACAACAGTCTGGCGTTATCAGACCAAGCTTGTGTTACTAATACCGAGACAACTACCACCTCCACTAATGACTTCATTCGCTCCTCCTATTCGATCCCATTACTGTTGAACTCTATCGACTTCGTCCATGAGACCTCCGAAACCTTTGCTTCATCCTGGCGAGCCACCTCTTTTGTGAGAGACGATGGATGGGTCTTAGGTCCCGGACGTGGGCAGAACCTACTCTGGGTGCCACCCGCTTTCCGAGAGGTGGCAGTATGTTTTGATCCACGGACTGCATTGATGATACCCAGGGGGTGTGTTGAACTGGATTTGAGCCGCATGGCTCATGGGCAACACTGGCAGAATTGCCGAGCTGAGTGAGTCTCTACCCTTTTCCGTCCTTCGCAGTTAATCAAACCGATACTTCTAGCTCTTGATAACGATGATCTTATTCCAGCAATTGGCTTGTGGAGATGTCAGATACACTGTGATATCGAGCATATTTATTCGTGACATATTTTATCTCCAGCATAGACCACATGTTCTTCCAAGTGATTCAGTGGACAAAGTGATACTCATCATGCCCCTGCTGGTTTGTGCGTCCAAGTAACATGGACCATATTGGCGCCTGCTCATAGCGGCTTGTAGCAACAGAAAGTTATGGTGACAGTGCCACACACGACTTAACATCTCAGAACACTGAGAACCAGGTCACCGGAACAAATGTGGAGTTCATAATGTACAGTACAATACGAGGACGAGAGTACCGCGAGAATGATGTGCGCAAACGTGTATGAGACGCGAGGAAATAAATGCGAGAAACTCACTCGCACTGATGTTGTCGGTGGGTTCAAATTCTCCTCCTTGCACTTCCTATGACGATACATCAAGCACTGGCCCGGTAGACACCTCCTCGTTCCACTCGACAATTGAGGCCCCTGGTGCATTTTTCTCTCGCCCGAGTGATACAACGTTGATATACAACGCTTCAGTTGTCGAGCATCCGCTTCGACATGTGTCGTAGGCCAAATGAAGAAGAACATCCACGCATCACGAAAATGTGCGATACCTACGCGGATGTAAGCCCCGGTGGCTTACCTGAGTTCCCATAATCAGTATAAATACTGTCCGAGATCATGAAGCATGAGCTTTCATTATCACTGCCTTTTGGCGTAACGGTTAAGGGCCATCAAATCGGTGAGACTCAGATATTGATCAAGCTCTGGGTCGGTATCGAGTCAACTCCTCGCTCCAGTCGACATTTAAGCCCCCTATCATGAGTCGCCCGAGTGGGTGTAACTCGTGCTAACTGGCTTACATGGCCGGAGACGAGACAAAGTTGATATACGACACTCCATTTGTCGAACGTCCGCTTCGATCGAGCAGACAGTGCAAACCCCTATATTAACGTTGGCTATGTACTCTGAGTCACTGACTATAGTCTTTCAAAAGGGGTATTTCTCACCAGTATAAACAGCACTGTGACTAGACCGCATTCGGAGCACAAAGAGATTTTGTCTTCATCGGTGACGCACCTGCCCATCCAAACCGGAACCCATCGAAGAAGTGGTTGCGAAGCATTTCGGTTGGGCTATATTATCGCATAGATGGGAAAGCAAGGAGCTCCTGCTACACGACGTTCAGGACAAGGTCGTGTATGATTTGGATCCAGTCGGAACTGCGGTGAAGTTGCAGACATTCTGCAAAATCGCTCGTGATGCAGGGCATTACTGGGCTTGGAGCAATACATGTTGCATTGATCAGAATAACAACGTTGAGCTCCAACGATCGGTCAACTCCATGTTTGTTTGGTATCGTCAGTCGGCTCTCACAATCGTCTACTTGTCGGATGTTCTCCCTTCAGCGCAGTCAGGCTAGAAAGTCTGGGGATTGGGAAGTCTGTGTGGGGTCTGCACGGACTCGACGCGGACTTCCCATTTCCTGGATGCCCTCTCATACCTTGACAGTGCCCGCGTAAAACAATCCCCCTCGGCATTTGCATTATGTCGGTTAACTTACACGGGAAAGCAAACTACCACAATTGTAAACTCGAATCTTCATGCTTACTATGCAGAGGATCGAAGGCATGGACATTTGAAAAGTACTAGTAGTATACGCAAAGAACAGCAAGCGAGTACGACAAGATGTGTGTAGCTTTTGTTACCCGTGAAATACTACAATCATCTCAATCTTAAACCAAAACTGCATCCCCTCGCGCACACACCTGGTGAGCCGACACAATCTCAAACCCCATTCAACCATCTAACACAGCCCACGAAAATAAAACATGTCATTACCCTCGACTTTATAGTTCGCATCTTTTGCCATTGCCGCCAAAGCGTCTGATACCACCTCCCATCTCCGTTCATATTCCCCACACTCCGACTTGTACCGGCCGGCCCGGCCCATCCCACTTGTAGTCACGATGGCCTGAAGCCCTGGCGCCATCGAGTGCAGGAACCGTGGGATCGACCTCATTAGGTCTGGTGCAGTTGGTGGGTCTAAGGGACCCTCGCACGCAATGGGCGAGTCCCCAATATCCAGTGTGTACAACCGCGTGTTGGGTTGCAAACACACTTGATCATTGTCATCATCGTTATTCGGAAGCGTTATTGCGAGGGAATCGAGCCGCGCGTCCACACAAAGGAAGACCTTGCGTAACTCGCGGCAGCGCCTCACAAGGACGCCTAGAGTACAGAGGGATACAGACGTGTTGGACATCCCTAGGTCAAGGATTTCGAGGTACGGGCATGTACGAGCAAGCGTGAGGATATCCGCGTTGTTGAGTGCAATGGACGAAGCGTGGTTGGGAGAGAGGACAAGTGTCCTGAGGTCTACGAGGGCGGTAGGATGCGTGAGGAGGGAGCAGAACTCAAAGGCTGAGACTTCTATGTGGCAGTGCAGCTCGGTGTGCTGATCGCGACACCCATCGGTGACAATGATATGCTCTAGCGTTATGCGGGTGAGAAGGATGAGGAGTTCAGACCAGATGTTGGCTGAGCTACAGCCTAGTGCGTTTATCTGAATTGTTTTGAGGTTGGGAGATCCAAAGGAACACGTATCAGAATCCATCCGGAGTATTCGGAATGCGCGGAGGAAAGACATGAAAAGGCCCAGATCATCGCATGAGATATGCAAGTGATTGAGTGCCTGAAAGGGCTGAGGTATATGGAGAGGTACAGGGGGGATGCTTTCGTAACTCAGCTCGAGGGTGAGCCATCGGAGACGTGGCCATGCAGCGATAACATCGAGCAAGTGGCTTGGGATATCGTAGCATGTGAATGAAAACTTTGTAAGACCCTCAGAATAGCTGAGCAGGAGCGACTCGATTTCCGAGGGGCTGTCCTCGGTTGTTTCAACGAAGCCTACGAAGGCAAGGGCTTTGAGGTAAGGGGCGGTGATGTGGAGGTCAGGGATGATGGCCTTGAGAAATGAAGTGTCTGAGAGGTGAAGGGAAAGGGACTCGAGAGTGGATAGGAAGAGCCTGAGGGCTGGGATGGATGTGAGACAGCAATCCCACCATGTGAGCGAGCGCAGCTTGGGAAAGAGTAGAGTATCTTTAGGCGCACTTGCAACGAGAAGTTCATACGCAGTGTCATCGTGACCATAAGACTTGGAGAGGATCTTGACGCGTGTAGCGTAGGGGACCAACGAGTGGAACTGTTCTGGTGTCACCGGGGAAGGTTCGCGCAAATGAACCAGTTCATCAGGCAGGGCCTTAATAAGAGGCCCAATTTCATTTAGGTGGGAATAAAGCACATTGAGTGCTGGAGCGCGAAATGCACGGCAGGTGAGTGCGAAGTTGAGGACAGACCGTCGATCTTGAATCACCGGAGATGCAAGTGGTGAGAGTTCAGGCAGTGAGTAGAATATTGTGTTTATCATCTTAAGCACTGTTACGGAATTGAACAGAAAATGGCATATCTCTTCGAGGATCTCAGTCAGGCGAAGACAGCGGTGCATGTCAAGAGCAGATACGAGTCAGATGTTGGGTTGAGACTGGAAGATTCAAGTTTATTGCAAGTCGTTGTTTTCTCATCCTCGCGTACTTGATGTGACTAATCTTGTACATAATATTATTGAAGGTCAACACTTTGGTGCGAGGATGCCGGGCAACTTGAACGAACGATGGTCAAGGGAGACTAGGGTCGGGAGCTCAAATTTACTATCATCCCTCACAGTGTGACGGCTTGTGTTGCCTCATATTTTGATATCTGGTCATCGCACTCTCATACATATATCAACCACGTATTGCACGAGTGACGAAACACCGTCATGACAAGATTATTCAAAGACCAGTACGCCTTATCCCTACCGCTTCCAATCACTCATCACTGTCACAACGGTCCCATCAACCTCTCCGTCCTCAGGACGAGCTCATAACCAGATACCCTGGGCAGCAGGCGATGCCGACAAGGTAGTACCTAGAATATAAACAGGTGGGGAACACGTGTGATATGTGCCGTGGAAGACCAAACTGGTAGTATTGTAGCGGTGGTGTGTCGCCGTCACCGTTGGCTGGTTTCAGGAAGGGGGTGACAAGAACTGAGCGAGGTTATTAATTGAGGGAGGGGAATGCTAGGGCTGTAGATCGAGAACTACGGAAGGCGGCAGCAGCCGGGAAGAATACGGCCAGAAACTACGGTACTGCATCATATGTATTGGCGTGCCAGAGAAAAACAATGGACGTGCTTACCTTTGAATGGCCGAACAGCGTCTGGCTCCTTCTTCCATCTCAAATATGATAGACTCAAGATGCACCAATAGTTACGACAATACTTGATGAAAGAAGAACCCTTTCCTGTGCGAGTTCTGTGATCGAAGCATGAGCAAAGCGGGATTATGATTATGATGTTTCATCTGACGAGCCTTGGTTTACTTGTGATGAAGCAAAAGTCTACGTTATGAAAATTTTCTTGAGCCACGCGTTTCTGTAGCTTCGCCTGACTTGTGACCATAATGACATTCTGTGAGGATAGATAGCGGCTGTTGCATGTCTGCGCAGAAGATACTTAAACGATGGGTGCCCGCCATCATCGATGGACGCTGGAACCTTAAGCTATCGACTCAGGCCGATTGGGTTATTAGTATCTTTATTTGTATATGCTTGGTTGATGCGCCCTTGAACATGTCGTCCAGCTGCAGACTCCCGGTGGCCTCCACTTCCTGGCAGCTGTAATTATCCATCGAACATCCGATAAATGCATGACAAAGCAATACGTTGTTTCTTCGTCATACACCAACTTCATCAACCGCATAGATCATCATCTAGCCAGCTCTGCATCCCTGTACCATACCTTTTCTGCACACCTTACCCCCACCAATATCAACCTCTCCCACCACCGGGCAGCGATGTATCGCCACAGTTACTTCCACATACTCCTCTCCATATGTCGTTGCCGAGGGAAATTGGATTCATTGCCTCATACCAAACATCGACACAGACCACCTGTGGTGGATGCGCAAACTGCCTGACATCGTCAATGTTCAACTTCCATCTCAAGTCCTCCTTGATTCAAACAGCACAGATTCCATCTGCTATGACGAACGCCGTGGATTTGGTCACATGGTCAATGACGATCTCATCCAATCCACAGTAGTACTCTCAAGACTATATCCGAATGGCCGTGCGTTCAGTCAAGTCGCCCAGAACATTCGTCTGGCTGAGCAGACCTTAATGGCCGTGCTTGTCGTTGTAGGCTTTGCGAAGCTGGTTTCAGACGCTCGATTAGATTGTCAGGCGCTTCCAGCGGAGCGGTTGACTAACTTGTTCAAGAACTTGTAAACTAACCTCAAGGGTCGTCTATGAGATTCTGTCCGCAGGTATCTTCGCAAGGTACTTACCAGTAAGAACGCCGTGGTAAGGCTGAAATTTCCGCCAGGTAAGCTGACCATCTTGATAGAACTGCCAAGTACTTCGAGAGAATATTGTTTGTGTTCTGGATTGTTTATCCGCCGACCCTGTCACAGGTTCTCCTTGTACCCTCTGTCTGAAATTCGCCAGGCTTAACCATCCATCCTGATAGAACTGCCAAGTACTTCGAGAGAGAAAAATTCTAGGACATAAAAGCAAGCCGTGTTCCTACCGAGATCCCACTCTCATATTGCCTAGCACAAGTCATGCGTTTCTCATCCCTCCTCGCTATTGTTGTTGCTTTGACAACATCTATGTCTGTCAGTGCATGCCTGGGTAAAAACATCCTTTGCGGGGCCTCCAACCCGCACGGCGGGCCATGCTGTCCAAGTTATTCATGTCGTTCAAAGGTCGTGGATGATGCAAGTCGTTCGCATCGCATCTGGGATTCAACCACATGACTGACCCTTTGCGCCTTATACCAATAGCCTGCTCACCACAATGTCAGATGGACCTGCTGGACTTAACCATCTCCCGATGATCCTGGAAGACGGAACATGTTGCGACAGTGAGTCGTTTCTGCTTTCGCTTTGGTACAGTGATCGCGCGTGAATTAACATAGAATTAATTGTAATCTGATAGTACCCACCACCAATGAAGACAGCGATGCCCATCCGCGCGCTATGATCCAAATCAGATTGTTCGCACCTCCGAATTGAAACCACGCACCCAAGCTCAGAGAGGTCTGGCATTAAAGTAGCCATCAGTGGAGACGTTATCGCAACAACTACATAATTAAACGAACTGTCAGAAACTTTTCACCCCGATGGAAAAAAATTACTTACACAGCCCTTCAAAATAGCCATGAAGCACGGCAAGCACAACGATGCTGGCCAAGCTATTCAACCCAATCATGCCCAAAATGAGCACACTGCACGACATTGTCGCGATGATGGCTAAGTTCGGAACCCCTGTGAACAGCGCAATAAACCATGATGTGACTCGTCCTATCAAACTGGATGCATTTAAAATCGCTTGTGCAGTGCTGGCGCCCACAGAGTGAGATGAAAAGGCGACATTTATGCCATGCTTGATGGAGTCGAGTTGAATGAAGTATGCCGGGTAGAAGAGGCCGATCTGGAAGAGGAAGTCCCTGCAGGATAGTTATGTGGAGGAATGCGAGAAGGTGTATTACAGGTCTCACCCTGCCACCATAAGAGTAAACGGTACACCACGAAGACACTTTCTAGCTGCCGCAATGTACTAGTTCACCGGTGTCGTCGGTGGATCAAGGCGAGTTCGCATGCACAGACATGCAATTAAAAGGAGTGCGCTGACGAACCCTGCGCTTGCACGGACGCCATTGGTGAAGCCAACAGGACCATCCAGGAAGTTATTGAACATCATCAAATGGTATAGCAGATGATGTCTAATTTGTGAGGTAATGCTGGATATAGAAGTCTCGAGGGCAATAAAATGTTCAATGTTCCAGGCTCACTTTCATCTGCCGCAACTTACCTTCATAGACACCAAATGAAGAGGCATATTAATCTTCAGTCACAGAGCCATTCCTTGGCAACGCCAGCACACGACTCACCCCAACCCGCAAAACTGTACAAGGAACCTAAGTAGAACTTCGAGTAAGAACCAGCTTCTCGATCCAAATTTGAGTTTTCTTACGATCCAAAAGCAGTGGCCCAAGCAGCCCGACCACCTTCCAATGTCACTGAGTCTTTGTCCTCTTGGAGGGCGACCCCTTCCGTATGAAGCGTTCGAGGCTCGCATGTAAATGCCATCCAGGGTTGCAGAACTGACAGTGTCGACTATACATTTGTGTATATTTATATACACGACCCTACGTCATTCGAGTGACGAGTAGTAATAGGTATCGATGGGAGACGCCAGCGCGCTGTCGTGCGATGGTTGGGTGAGAATCAAACGAACACTGTTTTGCTTGATTGCCAGCAGATGATTTTTCGGGCCGAGCCTCTGCGAACGGGTGTGCACTGTAGTCGCCCTACGTGGCTATTTTGGCAGTTCTTGATGGTACCATGTAGTTTACCCTAGCTGTTTCTATTCGCGTCCTCATGGAACATTGTGGCGAGGGACGACCATAGTTATATCCAAGAACCCTGGAAAATGACGCAGAGCACAAACATCTTGACAAAACTGTCTACATGCTTGGCACAGGAACAATGTCTGAATTGCCGAAACACCACATGCACGACAATCATCACATTGTCGATACCGTTTCGCCTCACCCACATGCATCCACCTATCGACCCGATACCGCCTGCGCACCCATTTACTAGAACAAAAACCATCAGTTATCGTCCATCTTGAGGCATTTCCGACAAGACTTCTGACACATTCTTCCACCTCGCCCTAAAATCCCCTAGCTCACGCATCCACTCGTAGTACGACCCGCCCACCGATCTTTCGATTGCCGCAAGCCGCGTTGCTAAGTATGATGGGCGTTAAGTCCAGCGTCGTGGGCGTGAGGTGGGTGGCAGATCCACTTGGTCGTCGTTCATAGGTGCCGCGCCAAGCGCATCGAGTCGCGCGTCCAAGCGGAGCGAGCCCTCGTACAGTTCATGACAGTGTCTTACGATGATACCCATGGCACCAGGGATACGGGCGTGTTGTGCATCCATCTCTAAGTCAAGGAAGTAGAGGTGTGGACATGCGCGAGCGAGCGTGAGAGTGTCGGCGTCAGGAAGCGCGATGGACATGGTGTGGGCGGGATAGATGTTGAGGGTCGTGAGGTTTGCAGGCGTGCGAGGAGGGGGTGGAGAATGATGGGTGTGGCGCAGCTGTATGTACCGTGGGTGACACCTCTCACTGAGAATGATGTACTCTAACTTAATGCAGGCGAGAATGCTGAGGAGTTCGGACCAGCTGCTGGCTGTGCTAAATTGATCTGAATCGTGTTGAAATCAAGGTATCCAAAGGGATACGTATCAGAATCCATTCTGAGCGTCTGAGCAGCGCGGAGGAAAGATGTGAAAATGCCCACACCCTCGCATGAGATATACAGGTGAGTGAGGGCTGGGGAACGTGGAGAGATACAGTGGTAATGCTTCTGAAGCCCAGCTAGAACGTGAGCTATCGGAGGTGTAGCCACGCAGCGATAACACAGTGAGAGATATCGCATCTGATTGAAAGCTGTATGAGACATTCAGGATAGCTGAGCAGGAACGATTTTATTTCCATCCGTCCCCTGTCATGATGCCATCCAACCCAGGAGCTTAAAGGTGCGGGGCAGTGGTACGGAGGTCAGGGATGGTTGCCTTGCGAAATCGAGTGTCTGGGACGTTGAGGGAGAGGGCGAGTAGGAAGAGGCTAAGGATGGGGATGAAGGTGAGACGGCACAGTTGCTAGAAGACAGGCACGCACTACGAGTGAATAGGAGCGACAAGACTCAACAATATCACGGAGTACTGGGAGCAGCTAATGGGCCGGAGCTTTAACGCTGGGCCGTCGGATGCATTTTAACTTTACAAAGGGAAGGACGAAGCAGACGTGGCAGAGGTATCAGTTGGTGCTTCTGTTCAAGCGAAACTTTGACCATGTCACGATAATGTTTTAACTACTACTCACCGTAGGTTGCGCCCGGATCTGCCTAAACTTCGAGGCTGATAAAGCCCCCGCTAAGGGACATATGAGTTTGAGAGGGAAGTATGTACGTAAAGCTGTGGCGGGAGTTGAAAAACACTTGGAGCATGTTGGGAACACGTGCACCGCTGTTCAACTACTTACTCTGCTGTTGTTCTACTGTGTCTTTTGCGCAGTCTGCCCTCTCTCTCGTCACAGTGAGCGACCTTTGACAAGATTGACACACTCTCCCATTATCCATAGTTTGGTTTGACAAATTTTGAAGGCATGTGTACAAATTGCGCGATACCACGACACGCTTTGAATCAGAATAAATAGAATCACAATTCAACATATATGCAGCGTTCAGTTAAAGACAACTCGAACAAGCGGTATGGACCGCAAAATAGCCCATGCCGCTAGCAATTGACCAATATTGTAGTCTTCGCTCGCAGTCCCTGGAGACTGACAGAGAGACATCTTCGAGTCAGATCACCTCAAATGCCAAACGGTGGGTCATTCAAACGTTGTTTATGACCCCTTTTAACAAACATCCCTCTTGATCTGGCAGACCAAAACTCGATCACCGTACGGGTAAGAATTGGAACGTACTTCTGATTCGACATCCATTCACGCCACTTCAGGTAATGAAGTCGACCTCAGTGGTATGACGTATGCAGCGGGCGCTGGACGAGATACCAGGAAACGATGCCTACCAGGGACCCGCACAGAAATTCTCTCCCAGATTATGGGATGGATCAAGAGCGACGGAGACGATGTGCCGCGGGTGCTGTGGTTATCTGGCCCTGCTGGGACAGGTAAATCAGCAATTGCTCATACGATCGCTAGTTCGTTCATCGACGAGGGGGGGCTTGGTTCTTGTTACTCCTTCGACCGGGACAGAGAGGCCGACCATCGCCATGAAAAGGTTTTCTCCACGATCGCGCGCGACCTTGCTGACCATCATCCGGAGATGAGACAAGCGTTGGCGGATGCTGTTCAAAATGACAGTGCGCTGAAGACTACACTGGATGTCGTCCAGCAGTGGCAGAAACTTCTTATAGAACCGCTAGGGAAACTCACCGAGTCAACCGTTGACCCTATCGTGATCGTGATCGACGCACTGGACGAGAGTGGTGCACCCAAGACACGAAGCCACATTCTCCGCATTCTTGCCAGTAAACTTCAGGACTCAGCTATTCCCCAGATCACACAGCTCCCAAAGAACATTCGGATTATTATTACCTCTCGTCCGCTTCGCGACATTGATGGTGCCTTTTCTAGCGCTCAGCATATCCGACGGATGTCTATGGACGACATCCCACTAACCACTGCGGAGGGTGACATCTACGCTTATGTGTCGAAGAAGCTGGAGGGGCTTCCGGGTTTTGGGAGTAGGGAATTTGCAGTCCTCGCTAGGAAAGCGGATGGCCTTTTCGAGTGGGCACGTCTTGCTTGCGAATGCATTGAATCACCCCCTCCGGGATCTTCTCCAAATGAGTCCTTCGATGCTGTCACGTCCCGCGATCCCGCCGATCGCGAAAACTTGTTGTATGACATGTATCGCTTCATTTTAGCGGAGACTATGCAAAAGGTTAGATACCCAAATGCCACATCTCAGCACAAACAGCTAGCAAGATTTCGTTCCGTGATGGGACAAATACTTGGCGCAGCTGAACCCCTCCGTTTGGAGACCCTGAATGCCATGCGGGATCATTTTCCAGACAAAAACGAGCATTACAAAGTGGAAGTCATTGTAGAACACATGGGATCCCTCCTCAGCGGCACCACCAACTCATCTTCCCCCATCCGACCCCTTCATACATCCTTCCGCGATTTCCTAACCGACCAATCATGTAGTAAAGAATTTTTCATCGATGTAGTGGAGGCGCAACGCTCCCTTGCTTTTACGTCGCTTCGAGTAATGGAACATGGTCTTCGCTTCAATTTCTGCGATATCAAATCTTCGTACCTCCCCAATTCCGAAGTTACTGGGCTGCGAGAACGAATTGAAAGCATTCCCCCACACCTGTCCTATTCATCTCGATTTTGGGCTGCGCACGTACAAGCGACAGCCTTCGATACAGAGCTCGCGAAAGAAGTCAAATCGTTCTTCGACCACGAGCGACTGATGTTCTGGATCGAGTTACTTGGACTTCTCGACGTATTCAGCGGCACAGTTGCCGCCCTTGCTCTCATTGTCCAATGGCTAAAGGTGAGCATGTGGTTACTGGACATAATACAAAGTACTAACGCGCAACCGCAGAGCGATTCCGGATTCAAAGATGTATGTTTGAGTGCAGTGGACGTGCAGAGGTTCATTCAACTCTTCGGCGACATCATTTCACTCAGCACGCCACATCTTTACGTATCAGCACTACCATTCTCACCACTCAACTCTGTGATATCCACGAAATTCGCTGCCAAATTTCCGAATACTCTTCGTCTGGCTTCCGGACGTGATATGAACTGGCCAAATTTTCAGACTGTGCTCAGGGGGCACACTGAAGGGGTTACCTCAACCTTGTTCTCGCCCGATGGGACTCGTATCGCGTCTGGATCGGTGGATGGGGTCCGGCTGTGGGATGCAGCGACAGGGCTGCCAGTCGGCGAGCCCCTGCGGGTGTCCTTTTGTCAATCAGTCTCATTCTCGCCGAATGGGACTCGCATTGTAATTGGTTCTTTGGATCACACGGTCCGGCTGTGGGATACAGCGACAGGGCAGCCAGTTGGTGAGCCCTTGCGGGGGCACACTGATCCAGTTATCTCAGTCTCGTTCTCGCCGGATGGGACTCGCATCGCAACTGGTTCTTGGGATGACACGGTCCGGCTGTGGGATGCAGCGACGGGGCAGCCTGTTGGTGAGCCCTTGCGGGGGCATACAGATTGGGTTACATCACTCTCGTTCTCGCCGGATGGGACTCGCATTGCGTCTGGATCGAAGGATGGGGTCCGCCTGTGGGATGCAGCGACAGGGCTGCCAGTCGGCGAGGTCTTGCGGAGGTCCTTTTATAATTCACTCTCATTCTCTCCGGATGGGATTCGCATCGCGATTGGTTCTGGAGATACTGTCCAGTTGTGGGATACAACCACAGGGCAGCCATTCGGTGAGCCCTTGCGGGGGCACACTCAGCCAGTTACCTCAGTCTCGTTCTCGCCGGATGGGACTCGCATCGCAACTGGTTCTTGGGATGACACGGTCCGGCTGTGGGATGCCGCCACAGGGCAGCCAGTTGGCCAGCCATTGCGGGGGCATACAGATTGGGTTACATCACTCTCGTTCTCGCCGGATGGGACTCGCATTGCAACTGGTTCCTCGGATCGAACTGTCCGGCTGTGGGATGCAGCTACAGGGCAGCCAGTTGGTGAGCCCTTGCGGGGGCACACTAGGTCAATTACATCAGTATCTTTCTCGCCGGATGGGACTCGTATCGCGACTGGATCAGAGGATGCGACTGTCTGGCTGTGGGATGCAGCGACGGGGCAGCCTGTTGGTGAGCCCTTGTGGGGGCACACAGATTGGATTCACTCGGTCTCATTCTCGCCGGATGGCACTCGCATTGCAACTGGTTCCTCGGATCAAACTGCCCGGCTGTGGGATGCAGCCACAGGGCAGCCAGTCGGTGAGCCCTTACGGGGGCATACTTCTTTAGTTCACTCGGTCTCGTTCTCGCCGGACGGGACTCGCATTGCGACTGGTTCTTGGGATGATACGGTCCGACTGTGGGATGCAGCGACAGGGCAGCCAGTCGGCGAGCCCTTGCGGGGGCACACTAGTTCAGTTACCTCAGTCTCGTTCTCGCCGGATGGGACTCGCATCGCAACTGGCTCTACGGATCGAACTGTGCAGCTGTGGGATGCAGCGACAGGGCAGTCAGTCGGTGAGCCATTGCGGGGGCACTCTGAGTCAGTTCTCTCAGTCTCGTTCTCGCCGGACGAGACTCGCATTGTAACTGGTTCGGAAGATAACACTGTCAGGCTGTAGGATGCAGCGACAGGGCAGCCAGTTGGTGAGCCCTTGCGGGGGCACACTGGGTCAGTTTACTCAGTATCTTTCTCACCGGATGGGACTCGCATTGCGACTGGTTCGAAAGATTATACTGTCCGAGTCTGGTATGCAGCAGTTGGGCAGCCGCGCGGGGAGTTTGTAGACTCGGAGTATGGGGACTCGGATTACTATGGAGGCTCCGAGTCGGAGGATGGAGACTTGGAGTATGACTCAGAGTATTGGAGCTCGGACCCAGCATTTCCTGACGAAGAACCTACCACCTCGACCAATGACTTCACTCAATTCTCATTCGATTCAATCCGGCCATGGTTGAAATCCAACTGGCGAATCCATGACAGCAGTCTGGCGTTCTCAGACCAAGCTCGTGTTACCAATACCAAGACAACTGCCACTTCCACTAATGACTTCATTCACTCCCCATCCTATTCGATACTGTTACTGTTGAACTCTATCGACTTCGTCTATGAGACCTCCGACATCTTTGCTCCATCCTGGCGAGCCACCTCTTTTGTGAGAGATGATGGATGGGTCTTAGGTCCCAGACGTGGGCGGAACCTACTCTGGGTGCCACCCGCTTTCCGAGAGGTGGCAGTGTGTTTTGATCCCCGGACTGCATTGATGATACCCAGGGGGTGTGTTGAACTGGATTTGAGCCGCATGGCTCATGGGCAACACTGGCAGAATTGCCGAGCTGAGTGAGTTTTCACCCTTTTCCATCCTTCGCAGCTAATCAAACCGATACTTCTAGCTCTTGATGATGATGATCTTATTCCAGCAATTGGCTTGTGGAGACATCAAATACAGTGATATCGAGCATATTTATTCGTGACATATTTTATCTCCAGCATAGACCACATGTTCTTCCAAGTGATTCAGTGGACAAAGTGATACTCATCATGCCCCTGCTGGTTTGTGCGTCCAAGTAACATGGACCATATTGGCGCCTGCTCATAGCGGCTTGTAGCAACAGAAAGTTATGGTGACAGTGCCACACGACTTGACATCTCAGAACGCTGAGAACTGGGTCACCGGAACAAATGTGGAGTTCATAATGTACAGTACAACACGAGGACGAGAGTACTTTGTAGAATCGTGTACCGGTTTTCGTGCTGCTGGTTCATTCAGCCACGCAAGCCTCGCGTAGAAGTGTGGAGGAATCCTGTGGGATGTTTTTGAAGCCCAGCTAGAGAGTGAGCCATCGGAGGCGTGGCCACACAGCGATAATGTCGAGCAAGCGCTCGAGATATCGCAGCATCTGAATAAAAGCTCTGCGAGGCCCTCAGGGTAGCTAAGCAGGAGTGACTCGAATTACGAGGGGCCATTCCCGGTCGTGATGACCTCGCCCACAAAGTCAAGAGCTTTGAGGTGCAAGGCAGTACTAGTGGTATGGAAGTGAGTATTGATGGCCTTGCGAAATGGAGTATTTGAGACGTAGAGGGAGAGGGTGTAGGGTGGGTAGGAGGAGGCTGATGGCGAGAATAGAAGTTGAGACGTGAGTCGTACCATGTGAGCGAGTGCAGCATTTAGAAAGAGCGGGGCGTCTTTGGGGGCGCTTGCAAGTAGGGATGTACACGCAATGCCGTTGTAACAAGCTTAAGGATTGAAGAGGATGTAGATGCGTGCAGCGCGGAGGACCAATAGGTGAAACTGTTTGATCGGGTGACCCAAAATGCACCGGGCAAGGATTGCCTGATGGAATCAGTTTGCCAGGCAGACATATAGTAAGAGGTTAGATCTCTCTCATGTGAGAATGAGGGACATCGAGTGCTGGGTCGCGAAATACACAACAGATGAGTGCCAGGAGGTCTCAATTGTACGGAGACGGTAAGATGCGGGGCAATGAGTACAAGGTGAAGCTTGAGTCACCGAATTGGCCGAATTGAACACATGAAATATCACTTCAAGGGTTGATGGTCATGGAGTCCGATAAAATCCTCGATTAACGTGCTTGTGAGTAAAACAAGGGCTGCATAGGACATCTCGAACAATCATTGACATCGTCCATCAAGTACATATCATCGAGTAAGCTTGAAATCACGGCCGAGAAGATATTTAAACGACGAGCATGCATTTGGAAGCGCCCACCGCCAGACCTCATCGATTATCGATGGATGCTCAGGCGTATCGAAGGTGGGTTAATTCAAAGGTCATGAGGATATTTGTACACGCTTGGTTGATGCGCCTCCAACTTACTCATGATCAATGCCAAATATAGTTCTCGTTCAAAGTTTTATGCTGGCGCGTATTTGTAGCAAGTACTTGGCGCTGCACAAAGCCACCCAGAGCTCACAGTAGCACTTTTGATCTCAGATTCCGCCTTTGCCTTCTGCACAATGTTCAAGTTCGTATGTTTGAACTTTGCAGTCCACGTGTTCTGTATTGTTTATCCACTGGCCCTGTCACAGGTTACCGTTCTGCGGGCCTGCCTGTACCCTCTGCTGGAAATTTCCGCCAGGTAAGCTGGCCATCTTGATAGAACTGCCAAGTACTTCGAGAGAATATGTTTGTGTTCTGGATTGTTTATCCGCCGACCCTGTACCCTCTGTCTGAAATCCGCCAGGCTCAACCATCCATCCTGATAGAACTGCCAAGTACTTCGAGAGAATGTGTTTGTGTTCTGGATTGTTTATCCGCCGACCGTGTCACAGGTTCTCCCTGTACCCTCTGTCTGAAATCCGCCAGGTTCAACCATCCGTCCTGATAGAACTGCCAAGTACTGAGAGAGAGAAAAATTCCAGGACATAAAAGCAAGCCGTGTTCCTACCGAGATCCCACTCTTATATTACCTAGCACAAGCCATGCATTTCTTATCCCTCATCGCTATTGTTGTTGCTTTGACAACATCTATGTCTGTCAGTGCATGCCTGGGTGAAGGTATCCTTTGTGGGCCCGACCACCCGTACGGCGGGCCATGCTGTCCAAGTTTTGGATGTCGTTCAAAGGTCGTGGATGATGTGAGTCGTTTGCTTCGCATCTGGGATTCAACCACATGACTGACCCTTTGTGCCTTATACCAATAGCCTGCTCACAACAATATCAGATGGGCCTGCTGGCCTTAACCATCTCCCGATGAGCTTGGAAGACGGAATATGTTACGACAGTGAGTCATTTCTGCTTTCACTTTGGTGCAGTGGTTTATCGCACGATATGCAGTTTGTTGTGGAGCTGATTAATATTATGTACAAATTTCCCTGCTGCCTCGGCTGGCAGTCTCTTGAATATATTAGAAAACTACCCGCGTGAATAACACAATATTTATTGGATACAAGACAATTTTAACATCACTTTCCTCCTACCCTCGTGTCTAGTGTTGCTGCAGGTTTGGCTAGCGCCGGCTAAAGCCGGTTCTGATTCACCGGTTTAACCGGAACTTCAAAGTCAGACTGCTTACATAATATCGACTTGGTCCGGCTGATGCAACCACGGTAAGCAGCTTTAAACTGGCTCAGACTGATAATTTTAGCTTGATTTAAATTTAGAAATGGATTAAATTTAGAAATAGAATAAACAAATTTAGAATTGTAAGAATAGTACACTTTGTATCGATCGATAATCACCACCGATCTACGTACGTCGTAAACAATCGAAGTCCAAAGATCTAACAAGAATGGGACCACAATTTGCGGTACGTTGTACGTTTGTGACGTTTGGACGTGCGTTGAGTCCAATCAGGACCGTATCACCATCGATCAAGCCAGAAGGGTGGTAGCGAGGGTGGAAGCGGCAACTGCAGAGATGTTGAGGGTGGCGACGGCAAGAGCTTCACAGGCACGAGAGCAGGAAGTGGTTTTTGTGTATGTGTCAGGGCGGCCATCGAAGTTACGGATTGCACTGGCAAAGTTGCTGGGATTTAGGCTGGAAGAGAATGGGTGAGTGAAATCCGTCTACCTTCTAAAGATGATGTTTACTAGCAACAATTAGTAGCACTCATCCAAACACAAGCACCAGCACACCGATTCCATCGTCTACATATGCGGTGACGAATGCCGTGCCTGCTGCGTTGAGGGACATGAGGAGTTGAGCATGTTCATCGTAACATTGATAGCAACCTGACTTCAAGATATGTTGGGAAATTCGAGTCCAGATCATTGAAGAGCGAGATGTTAACATTGATAGGCCTATAAAAACATGTCAGTCGCGTGCTTTCAAAAATGAGGAGAATACATACACTTGAATGGTGCCCACCAAGAGGGAACGTGATGCCGAAAACTGACTATTTCAACTAGTATTTGGTCGGCTTCGAGGGACTTCAAATCCAGCATGCACAGCTGAGATGGTCAGGTTGGAAATGGCGATGAGACCTGTTACACCAGGTCGAACCGGGCGGAGAGCCAGCGATTGACTAAAGACATCAGCTAATGTCAACCACTCTCGAGCCGCTCGACATACCAGCCCATTGCGAATAGTACGGGTTTGTAATCTAGTATGCCCATCGATCAGGGCATGCGAAAGCGAGTCCTATTTGACTCACTGTATCGATGCAGCGAAGCATGTCTTGCAAAAACTGACGAAGCACCAAAAGCTCGAAGGATAGGTGCTCCGGCAATTGCTTCACCATAGATAGAGTAAAGGGGAGACCGCGCCACAGAGTCTTGAAGTAATTACAGTTAATCGGCTGCCTCGAGATGTGTCACTGAGCCATTGTCCAAAGTACTTCCTTCGTGAAGAAGATATCGGAAAGCTGCGCATTATTAGGGAGGATTAGACATTTGAGTGGGAGTTATGATGATGAGTGCCGGTGTGGTGCAGCTGCCAGGTGGGGGAGGAATGCCATTGATTCGAGCAGTGCGGATGTCTCGTTGACGCGTTAGACGGGACTTGTCCTGCGTGAGCCTATCCCTGAAGGCCAGTCCTTTCTCAGTGGGTACTGGAAGACGTCCAGACCGGCGAATGATGGAGCTATGAGGAGTGGCGCCATATACAGGCGCTGGAATCGGCGGAGGTACAGGAGCTAGAATTGAGCCAGATACAGGCGCTGGGATGGACGAGTATACGGGAGCTGGGATGGACGAGTATACGGAAGCTGGAATTGGCGGATCATCCTCATCGTCTTCATCATTGTCGGGGAGAGGACGATTAGACTCGTCAATGCGGTATGGCACAGAGATGGTCCAAGGATATCGTCGGTCTTCACACCAGCCGGCGAGAAGAGTGAGTGCGCATGTCTTGAAAGCATGGGGATCATGTTTGTATAGAACAATTCCGGCAACAAAGAGAAAGAGATCCAGTATTGACAACTGTGAAAGGATGGACAGAGGGAACGAAATTATGGCACGGTACGTAGGCGGTACCGTTGGAGTCGATTGCAGTATAGCAAGCCAATGGTCAGTAAGTCTACATGTCAGATTAAAAAAAGGTAACACGTACCCCGGGACCTTCGCTCGTACCTAAAATTAAAATACACACAAGAACCACGTCTGCGTGGTCGGCAACGATGAATTCCTGTTAATCAGCTCTCACTGTTATACATAGAGAAACCACCTGTCCAGCCAAGAGCGAAAGTATGAAGCGCCTAGTCCATATACTCTTCCACCTAGCCCAGGAACTGCTGGTGAAAGCAGCTGGGGAAGAATAGTCAATCGGAGGCTGAACAAAGTCTCGCGCGACATCGCTTGCAAATCATAAAGGGTTGAAATCAGAGGCGCACACTGTGCTGCACGTCTGGTAAGAAATAAATAAAGCATTGAAATCAAAATCACAACAAAGAGCAAGATATTGTAAACCAAAGGCGAGAGGCGAAACAGTGGATGACAGATGAAAAAGTCAGTCAAGAAGTAAGTGCGTAAATGATAGCAGTGTCCTCAATATTGTCACACTCCTCCTCAGCAATGGCTCTGAGGAGAGCGTCATTTGCGCTGGTGGTGGCAGTCAACTGCTCGTTAGAACCTCGGTTGTATACCACCTCATGTTCCATGTCCCATTGAGAGGCTGCCCAACCTTTCATAAAGTTAAGCCGTTCTTTCTTCAGGAAAAACTTAACCATCTGTAATGCTTCCATCAAAACGGGGCTGAGGCGATTCCTTTTCTTCATATGGGTTTCGCTACTTGAGGAAAATATGCGTTCACACGGCACCGCAGAGGCTTGTACTGGGGCGTAGTCCATAGCAATCGAGAATATAGTTGGGAACATGGACTGTGAAGCCTAGTCAACAGCTCGTGGTTAATGACAAAGGGTGACTTGAAGGGGCAATGGACTCACATTCCAAAACGCAAGTATGTCTGTTCCACGAGGACTAAGTGTAGCCGTGGCATATGCCGTGAATTCCTGATCTACCGTTTGACCACCGTCGTGGTGATGCGGCACATGCGCCGCGGGAAGTCCATAGCGATGGGAGCCTAGTGTGCGTGGCACCGTTCGTGGAACCACTACAGGTTGAGAATTCGTAGAATTAGAGATTTCCGCTCTCTTGCTCTGCATCTGCAGAACAAATCAATCCAATGCCATGCTTTTATTTACTACAGAGACGTACCAGCTTCAATATAAATTCCTTTGCATCCTTAACACGGTCCTGCTTCCATCGACTGTCCATCCAAGACATTCGCGTTGCAGGATCAATGACTACAAAAGTAATGATGAAATCAATATTTATTAAAACAAAAGACGGGACTGACACATAGCGACAGCGTAAGCATGTGTCGCACCCATTCGGTCGGTGTATTTGCTCGCCCAGGTTAAGCCTATGTCAACGAAAGGCTTACAGTGAGGTGCGTGCAGGCCAATAGACTCCCAGCTATTAACCAACTCTTCAAAAGTTGGAATGGCATGGCTCAGCACGGGAGTGCTTTCACTGGAGAGTTTTTGCTGGGTGGTGTGGGGTGCCTGGTATGAAATGGTAAATCGGATCACAGACTTCGAAGTTCGAACAGATTAGTACTTACCTCCAAGATCACCTCCAGGTCCTGGAGGAACTGCCAATCCATCTCACTCAATCTTTTCTCGGATATGCTATGTTGAGCCCAAGCATCGAAAAAGGAGGTTACCGCCTGGACCAGTATTAGTCTACGATGTATGTTAAACGGTGTGAAATCTTACCTGGCGCAGTGTCCGCAAACAATTAATCATAACATAGACTGAATCCCATCTAGTAGGCTCATCGAGGAGGAGTTCTACGACCGGGAGCTGTGTAGGGTCGCCATTGTCATCCTGAAACCACCCATCCTCATTACCCCTAATGATGGTCTCACGAAACCTGTCGCGCCTCAGGTTTGATGCACAGATCAATCGCACGATATGCCTGGCTCGCTCGAGAGGCTTAGCTTGTACAGCCAGGACATAATCGGTTTTCTGGATGATCTGGCCTTCGACTGTCCATGAATCGTCCACAGCGGAATAGTTGGCAGTGGCATATTCGTCGATTATATGCTTCACACATATATTTATCATGTGCGGGAAACACGGTATCCTGTGCTCGATAGGATCAAAATCAATCCCGTGTTCCCCAAGTAGGGAGGAAAGCTCCTGCATTGCGGTATGATTGTTGCCCGCGTTGTCGAGGGTAAAATGCCCCGTCTGAACAACATCAGAGCATGCAACACGATAGAGATAAGTACCGACCTTGGCCGCAGTTTCTGCACGATCGAGGAGATAAAGGATCATAGAACCCAGAGATTGCCCATCGTGGTTGCCGGGAACGTGGTGGAAAGCAATGAGCGCCATCTTTAGCACGAGCATCGAATCTCAATTGGCCCTGGCAATCCAGTGAGCTGTGACGGCCATGAACGGCCGGAGCTTTTTATCTGACCACAGGTCAGATGTAAAGCAGACTTTTCCCTGTGAGTTCTAAAAGGAATAAGGTACTTCGTATGAGGCTTGGCAACTATGCACTTACGGCAAGATCTCGCTTCAAGGCCAGGAAGTATTCCTGCCATTGCTCAATGACCATTTCGCGAGCCTTCGTGCGGTGAAATAGACCAGACTCGCCAATTTCTGGGCGGAGGAGACGGATGAGGCGCCTGAATTCAGGGCATTCAATCATGTTTATGGCCTGGGGGCGACTATTAATGGTGGCTGTAGGCATGAACTGCGACTCACTTGATTGTCCGCCACAATGAACTTCACAATTTGACGATGCATTTCGTCAAGCATGAAATCTGGGATTCTGTCTTCTGGAGAGCTTGTTCCTACCAGCAAGGCACCAGATCCCTGGTTAGGGGGAGGACCAAGTGAATGCATCGTACAAGGCGATTTCTTAAGCCGTTCATGAATCGTCGTCAATGACCACCCTTCAGCAAGGCGTTCGTTTAGATCCTTAATCTGTATGCGCCAGCTAAAACGCTCTGCTGCTTCCAGATAAAGTTCGGTGTGGTGAGTGAATGCATGCGTACGGGGAGCTGAACTGGACGTTGAGCTCGCGTATACCATGACCTTGTGCGTTGTGTCGCTTTTGTGAAGTGTTCTGGCGAAGGGCGTGAGAAACAACAAAAGATTGCAGGTATGGTACTTACTCGCAAGGGATGCAGGTTTTGCTCTTGGTGTCGGGATCAATCCGATAGAAATGACTTATATCAGTCGGCCCTTTAGGCTGCTTGAGGTTGCTGGTAGCCAAAGGGTCAGTCCGAATGGTGCTGGTGACGGTCTGGAGTGGGCTTTGATTAGAGCGTGCAGGTGCCACAGCAGTGGGTGCAGGAAGATTGCCCAGTTCCTCTTCATCTTCATCCCCTGAAATATTGTCGAGGTCAAAGACTTCGCCCTTGTCTGGACCAGCATGAGCTGCATCGGTAGTTCTGTATCTAACAGGAAGTTGTCGCCGACGGGGGTTTTGAAGTGTGGTAGCGTTTTCTGCAGCAGCAGCAGGAATAGCAGCGGGGATAGCAGCAGGGGCGGCAGCGGGGATGGTAGCGGGGACGGTGGATGCAGCGGGGATAGCAGGGATAGCAGCATCAACATCAGCTGCCTGGGCCTTGTTCTGCCCTCGTCGACGAGGTCCCATTTGTGGTAGTAGTGGTGATAATTCGAATGACAGAACAGTCTGTCTATATAAGTCTGTTCTTCCCGGGAAACCCCAGAAAATTGTGTTGGGAAACCCCAGAAAATGTGTTGAGAAACCCCAGAACAGACGATGTGCACGAGAAGGAAGTCGTACACCATGGCCAAAGGCGATGCGAGAATCAACATGTGAGAGCCTGTAGGGCGGTGATATGAATTATGTGGTGTGCGAGGAGCGAACAGTAAAAGTGCGACACACAAGTTTGGCGCCTGTCGGATGACTGACCAGTGACAGGGTGTGGGCGCAGTTGGTCTTCTTCGTCTGTTTTCCGTCAATGAATGCTCGCAAATCACTATAATTTGGTGGAGGTGAGGGTGGGGGGAATCTTGCTCAATGAAGGACATACCTGAAGTGACTCAGACACTTTTTGCCAGCGGCGCTCTCCACACATGCACATGCTATCCAACAAACCACTTGTGAGAACCAACAGGGGTCACATCAAAGAGCGAGCACTTACGATGCTTTGGACAAGCGATCTGGCGAATTGGCTCCATGTGACTTTCTAGATCCTTCATCTTCAGGTCTCAATTGCGAAGCCAGATCACAAGGCAGTTCCACCAAAAGGTCCCCCATGCGGCCTCCTCACATGTAGGTGCAGATGTGACTACCACTCCTAAATTTTGATCACCTCACAGCGCATTCTGGAATACAATGTTACGATCAATACAATCCACTGATCAGAATTGGTTGGATGAATCAACAATTACCTTGCACAAGAAGTTGAACTGCGATAGTCGCCTCGTGTGTGGCAGCCTGTGTGAAAGTGGTTCCGAACTTTGGTGGTGAATAACCACAAGTGCTGAGACCCTGGGCAATGGGCATCACCTTGGAGATCACCGATCATGTTTGATCAGCACGAGCAAACGCGATGGCAAGATATATAGTATTCTAAGTGATTCAGATGATCATGGTAAGGCGCAAAGATCGAAGGCTGTGCACTGCACAGCACGTTGAAGGGAAAATAGCCTGACCTAGACCAATTAGTAATTACTAATCACCACGCTGAAGCGATGCACAATTACACATGATGGCATTTGAGGCTGAGCTATTCATAACATATACACCGTATGTACTAACATATGTACAGTAGTCTACAACAGTGTTATTCAGTAACCAGTCGCGATTTCCGCTGTGGAGTTGACGTAGCACACCATGTGGAGCCATTACGCGGGCGTAACCTTGCAAATAAGTTAAACTTTGGTTCAAAAATATAGAACAAACGTTACTCACACATGAGTCGATCTGCGCACTACCTTTGACGGACGTGGTGACATTGCTTCGGCCACACAGCACTGGTCAGGTGATAGAGGGGGAGGTATGGAAGGACCATCAGGTGATAGAGGTATGGCAGGACTGTCAGGTTGGCTAAAATCCAACATGCACGTAGCTGGTGCAGGCAATGTGGCACGAAGACCGTGAAGTACTGAACGGAGGTGATCGTAATCAGGATCTTCTGTGAATGCGAGAGAGCGGGTGTAAATAAGAATGTTGGCGAACTCAACGGGGATGTCATGGCATATATCTGCAATGGTGGCACATGCTTTGCACTCGAGTATGGTAGAGTTGGACAACTTCTCGTCGTTGCTTGTTAACCATGGAAGGGAGCCATGTAAGAAATATATTAACATGTATGTGAGCGACTCAAGATCGTCACGACGACCTGGCTCAACTCCTAAGTGGTTGTTGATCGAGGCGAACACAGGAGTACCAGAGAGACTTCGGCCATGGCAAAATGGCACATGGTCACTGGTTGTGGTGTTCCAGTACATCTTCGTGATGCCGAAATCGATGATGAAGGCAGTGTGCCTCAGATTTCCAAGACCGACCAAGATGTTGTGCGGTTTGATGTCGCCGTGAACGTAATTGTGCAAGTGAATGTATTCAAGACGTGAGAGCTAGGAAAGTCAGTTGACCTATCTGCAAAGACCTCAAACCAAACGACTGACCAACTGGACTCCTAGATTCACAATGTTGAGAAGGCTGAATCTTCGATTGTTCGCGAGGAAGAGTTGGTGGAGCGATGGCCCAAGGAGTTCGAGAACAAGAGCATGATACGCTGACTCTCTACCGAACCAGAGGGTGCGGGGGATGCCAACTCCGCCTTCAAGCTGTTTCAGGATCCAGTATTCACGCTCCAAAGAAGATGAGTGGTCGACAACGGGTTCGAGTTTGAGCACAACATGATCATCATTGATGATATTCCGTGCAGAATACACGACAGCTAAGTGGTATAATATAAGTGGATCTGAACCAGCATGTGAACAATAAGTTTGAATAAATTACTACATACCATAGGAGCCAGATCCTAAAACCTCTCCCAGCCTAAATCTACCATCTACTCGAACAGGGACCTTATTCATGGTAACTTACAGCAAATCCAACTGAATAACAGGGACAATGGGGAGAGGGAAGTTGGAGAAAGCCTGAAAATGAGTTCGCCACCCAACCCCCTTCAGCTGGCTTGAGGCCGGCTCAAGCTGTTGTTCCCACATTCTTGGCTTGTGCTATCTGTGCCGGTTTAGGTGCCTTGCGGACCAGACCGAGTCGCACGTGAGTGACTTGGTTCATGGGAATCGCCGAACTGCTGGGAAATCGGTAACAGCCGAGCCCGGACCGGCCAGAACCAAGCCGTGACACTACTACTCGTGTCGGAAAAAGGTAAAGTGCCATTTTAATGCTGCTGGCTTACAAGTTTGATCACATGTGTTGCATACAAAACTGTGTAGTCGCATCTCCACAGAGCCTATTTGTACCTATTTGCTCAGGCCAAATCATACCGAAAATACCTTGTCGGTGTGACCGGTCACACCAAATTATGCCTCCTCACCAACTTTGCAGCATCGTGCTCTCAGTAGAGAGATTTCTGAGGACAAGAATTTCTCCATTCGTGACAGAGCCCTCAAAAATATCCAGTGCAATGATGCCATCAACAGACAAAGCAGGTAAGACTGAGTAATGCTGCCCTCGAATAAATGTGGCCTGATGAACAGATGCTCTTCTGAGTGGTGCCCAGCCATTAACTCGTTGATTTGTGCAGTCATCAACTGAAGATTCATCAATCCAAACAAAATGGTCCATCAGAATATCTCCATACTCAGCTGCATGCCATGTTGCATGAAGCAACTCATCACACTCAAATGCAGTCTTTGCAAGGCTTTTGCAAGAAAATTTAAGTTGTCTAAGTGTGCAGGACAGTGTAGCAATGTCATGAACCTTTTGCATTTCAGTCACAGGATATGATGTTTGTTCTCATTTACTTGTTTAGCATTTGTCTTTGGAGAGTCGTACATCCTCCTTTTCTCTAATGTCGTGCTGGTCAATTCTTTCAGTATCTAGGTCCTTGTTGTTGTTGTTGTTTGTGTTGCACCTTGATTCTGAGATGTCTGACAAAAGCATGATGTTTGCATTGGCCTGCTGACCAACCCTATCAAGTCTAACTAACTCACAAACAATCCTCTCTGAGTCTTCAGTATCGCCAACACACTCATACAAATTTTCAACTCATCATTTTCGGCTTTAATGCCACAATATCTACAACCCCTACTACACCTACTGTTAGGTACTGTGCTTGGATGGAGAAGTGGAGAAGTTGGGGCTTGGCTTCAGCTCTTGCGCTATGCCCATAGCCGTATGTGCCCTGAATTTGAAGCAGGACTGACAATGTCCGATGATAGGACAGGCAGACTGCTTTGGTCCGCTCTGCGGTTTGGGAGGTAAAGGCTACTAGTGGTGGACCAACTAGAAGCGGAGTGGGGAAGTGAGTTTGAGGCAGAGGGAAGTTAAGGGGATTGGTTGATTGGGTCGGAGAGGTAAGAGTGAATACTTAGAGCATGGCTCTAAGTCGGAGCAGAGGATCAGAGGTGACGACAAGATAAACTTGTGTCTGGAGAGAGCAAAGTCCTATGGAGAATTCCCACTAGTAGAGACTGCGGGAAGACAAGTAATATTAAGACTGGGCCATAGCTAAGTACATGATATGTTTTATATACTTCTAAGTAAGGAGGCAGTGAACAGTTAGTCCATAGTATGAGGCTATGTGCTGAGTATACAATTTGTAAGTATTACCACAGGTGAATACATAAGTCGGAGGGGATATCAATATGTACGTGATGGATCAGTAATTGAGCAGCTATAGGAAATACTGGTGATTCGGGAAGTAAGGTTTATGTGTTGAAGGGGAAAATATATACCTAAATGGGGAAAGAGTTTCCAGTTTGAATGGAAACAATATGGAAGGTAACCAATGAGGCAGTTGAGCGGGACTGCAGGAGCATATGCAGAAGCTGACTGGATCAAGTGGATGGTGGGTGGAGTGGAAGGGGTGTAGGGTTGAGCAGAGCAGATATCAATATTGTTGGAGCAGTCGGATCTGGTATATGACACCTACTATGGCTGACACCAAGGCCTTTAAAGTCTCAAAGCCGGCGGACTTCGATGGCTTGAAAGATACATTCATGGCATGGTTCTGGCATGTCCTCATGTATTTTGAGAGTCGAGACACTGTCACTCCAACACTGAAGCAGAAGATCATTTTTACCTTATCCTATATAAAAACCGGATTTGCAGAAGAATGGGCAGCATGTCCATCCAAAAAATTCTGGTCCTCTTATTATGTATCCACTTACTGTTCTGCACTCAGATGTGTGACAGATGGTTGAGCATGGAATGCAGCCGAGTGTCAGATAGGTGTGGATGGGCTTGGATGGGCATTGGATAGATGCGGATGGATGTGGACACTCATGGAACACCATGCAGTTTTGTCAGCACCATCCACTATCAGAGACCCATCCATGTCCATGACATATCCTTCTGGCACATAGGTCTTGCCAGACATGATATGTTTGAGCACCACCTCAAATGGGGCCTCATCATTGACTCCATCACACTCAACCACATTGTCTTCCGGTAAGGATACTGTTATGACTAACATTCACCAAATGGCAAAGGTAAGATCACAACCACTAGGACTCAGTCGTAGCTGATGATGAGCAAGAGCAAAGATAGGATTGAGCATGAGCATCTAAGCCTACTACAAGTGTAGAGAACAAAGAGGTTAAGTCTAAGGAGTACTTACGCTAACTAGCCTACTTATATACATAACATTGAATCGGAGATATCTAAGTATGTGTCATATCCCATACCTCTGGACCCAGAATTCTGGATTCTCCCCTATGAAAGTCTGGGTCTCCGTCCTGTTGTCCGCCCGGCGCACCACTTTCATCTCCGGACTCACACTTATCTCCTTTTAGAATACTGCTCTCTGGTTACCTGTTGTACACCTTTCCGCTTTGCTTACTGATCTGTCCATCTACACTTCATTTCTGACTTCATTTCTTTGATCTGTTGTACACTTACTAATAGACTTTCCATATGCTTCAGGCATAGCTTTTACTTTGCTGACTGATTACTTACATGATATCTACAGCATATAAACTCCTGTAAAACTCCAGTACCTCCTCAGTTCAAATATCATCTTAGTTACTGCTCATTCCTGTTTCTCCGGACTTGAGTCTGATCTCTTGTCCACCTCCGAGTCTTGGGTTTAATCCTTAAGACTATATCTCCAGTTCTACCTTAGGGTGGTCTATCTCTGTTCTGTTTCTACTCTGGACTTGTCTGAAGTAGCCTTACTCTATTTACTCCTAGCCTTCTGGAGTTCTGTCGAACTCCCCCTGTGTCTGACCTCTGGACTTGCCTGGACTTCTGTCAGACTTCCCTTCTGCCTCTTGGAAATTAAGGGCATGTACTCAGGTAAGGGGCGCAGCACACGAGCTGAAGCCAAGCCCTTTGAGTTACTCTTCCCTTGAGCACAATCTTAACAGTATGAAACAAATCAGCCAATGAGAAAAGAGTTGTATGATAACTGCGGATGATGTAGCATGACATCATGATATATAAGTGATGATATCATTGACAGAGATTAAATGATAGGAAGAGAGATTGTTCTAGACCGTCAAGTAGGGGAGCTAATCGGAGATACAATGGGTGATATGTGAAGAGGTGAAATTGTGACAGGAAGTGAAATTGTGTGACCAGTTCAGGAATGAGAAGTAACTGGAGGGAAACTAAGAAATGAAAAAATGGTTTGTATTGGGAATTCGTGACATTACCCCCTTTTTAGGATGAGCATCCTTACAAATATAAGATGATCAGATATTTTTCTGTCACCATTCCAGGAAACTGGGTGTTTGAAGAATTGGAATAATAGAACTGGCAATTTGGTGCGATTTTGGAGCGTCAGGATGTGTGGCATAAAATTCACTGACTAATCTGGGGGAATTCTTCAGATTTTCTTTTTTTCCCATGTCACTTCTTCCAATGGATATCCTTTCCATTTTGTCAAGTATTGCAGTTTCTGTTGCCATATTCAGCTTGATATTACTGCTTCTACTTCATATTCTTCTCCAGTATCAACAATTTCAGGGAGTGGACGTGGCAGGGCGATTTGAGGTGTAAGTGCAGAAGTTTTGTGTGGAGTGAGTAATCCCACATGAAACACCAGATGAATCTGATATGATTCAGGTAATTTGATCCAGTAGTTTAACTCACCTATTTGCTTGAGTATTTCAAAGGGGCCAAGCGGCGATCCAACAACTTCTGACTCAGGTGCCATTGTTTGATATTCTTGGTGTCTAACCAGACCTTCTGTCCAACTTCCAAAATGGGTGCATCTTTTACTCCATGATCATAGAAGTGCTTCATTTGATCATTTGCTATTTCTAGTGTTACCTTCACTTCTTCTTGCGCCTCTTTCATCTCGGCTACTCTTTGATCAGCTTGGGGAATGGTATTGGAGGAGTTAGGAGAAATGTTGAATTCGGGGTTATAGCCGTAGAGGGTTTTGAAAGGGGAATGTCCAGTAGTCGTTATGGAATTATCATGTGTAAATTCTGCAATGGGAAGCCACAATACCCAGTCATTTTGACAATAAGACATAAAGAGTTGAAGATATTGTTCTACTTCTTGATTGACTCATTCAGTTTGTCTGTTGGTTTGAGGGTGATATACGGTTGACATGGACCACTTGGTTCCTAGTCTTTTTAAGACTTCCTGCATAAAATTTGACACAAATTGTGTTGCCCTATCAGAAATCATCTTCTTTGGTGTTCCATGCAACTTCCATACATGTTTGAGAAATAAGTCCACAATTCCCTTGGAATTAATGTCCTTGGTGGTAGGAGTGAGATGTGCTTGTTTGGTGAAGCAATTAACAACTACTAGGATACTGTCCTTTCCTTGGGAAACAGGTAGATCAGTGATAAGTTCACAACTAATCATTTGCAATGGACCTTCTGGGATTTCATTTGGCTTCAAGGGTCTGTGGGGTTTAGACAGGAACACCTTTGTCTGTTTGCATCGA